TCTCTGTTATTGTTTATTTTGACGCTGGAAATTTTATTAAATAAAATACGTGGGACTGATATAATAAAGGGAATTAGAATTAGACGGCATGAATATAAGCTATGAGCATTTGCGGATGACCTGGTGGTTACCTTAGCCCAATCGGTACAATCGATTACAGCCTTGATGGATATAATCTCCTCATATGGACAAGTATCTGGTTTTAAAATAAATACAGCTAAAACAAAGATAATAGCTAAAAACATGGACAGAAGCCAGAAAGAAGAGATAGAAAGGTTAACAGGATTTGAAATAGTTAAGAAGGTTAAATATTTAGGGGTTTATATTATGACTGCAAATACGAAATTATATCAACATAATTATGAACCGTTATGGCAAAAAATACAGAAAGAGATGGAAAATTGGAAGAAATTGCAACTGTCTTTGCTGGGTAGGATAGCCGCTGTAAAAATGAATATCTTACCAAGATTTTTATTTCTTTTTCAAATGATACCTATACTTACAAAAGATGAAAATTTGAAGGAATGGCAGAAGGGCATAAACAAGTTTGTGTGGGCAGGGAAGAAACCACGAGTTAATCAAAAGATAATGCAAGACACCCGAGAAAGAGGTGGTCTTAAAATGCCCAATTTAAGACTGTATTATGAAGCTGCTACCCTCTCAGCAATTACAGATTGGATAAATTTAACGGAGGAAGAGATACTGAATATTGAAGGATATGGTCTGGTCTACGGCTGGCATGCTTATCTATTGTATGACAAGAAAGTAGATAAGACTTTTAAAAGTCACATATTAAGAAATGCTCTACTGCGTGTCTGGAAAAAGTATAAATATAAACTAAAGGATAAGTTACCAATATGGACAGTACCCAGACACGCGATAGAGAATATAAATTTGGAGCAAAAGCAAGGTAAATTTACATATAAGGAACTCCTTTATAAGGAAGGAGTCAGATTACAATTAAAATCTATGGAGCAATTAAGAGAAGAAGGAATTATTAAGACTTGGTTTCAGTATGGTCAGCTGCAGGCCAGATGGAGAGAGGATCAAAAAACTGGTATTTTGCAGCAAGATGAGAATTTGATAAAGCAAATAAGAGATAAAGGTCAAATGCATATTAAAAGGTTGTATAATGTATTAGTGGAAATAGATTCGGAAACAGAGCTAGTCAAGGATTGTATGATAAAATGGGCACAAAACATAGGTGAACCAATAATGTTGGATACGTTATTGGAAAAGATATGGGTTAGAAATGTAAGATTCACACAAGCTCAAAACTTAAGAGAGAATTTTTACAAAATGTTTTATAGATGGCATTTAGACCCAAAAAAACTAGCCTGCATGTATCCAAATTTACAACCCAAGTGTTGGCGATGTGAGTGTGAAGATGCTACATATTTTCATATATGGTGGACATGTAAAAAAATTAAGGCTTTTTGGATAAAAATATGGTGGATTATTCAATATATTTTAAGGAAAAAAATTAAATTTACACCACAGTTTTTTTTGTTGGGAATAGTCACGGATTGTACTGTAATAGGGACTAAGTTGGTTTTGAATTTAATAACAGCTGCCAGGTTACTGGTGGCACAGTACTGGAAGAAGGAAGATCCACCTACCATTGAGGAATAGACATTAAAAGTTGTGCATCTGGCAGAGATGGCAAAAATTTCATCATATCTTAAAGATCATTCAAATGAAAGATACATATCAGAATGGAGAAGATGGATTGACTATATACAAAAAAAGTATCCAAACAAGAAGATTTATATAGCTTATGAATGAAATATTTTTAAGTAGTTTATGTTTATAGTTTTTGAGTTATAAGGAGTTAAAGATTTAGGGAGAATATGAATGCAATAATTTGTTAGCATATTTTAGGTTTATGTTTGTGAATGCTATACCCTGTGCCTGTTCTGGGAAGTCTAGGGAGGGGGGTGGGGGGGAAGGAGGGGAGGGGGAAAGGGTGGGGGGAGAAAATGTTTGTATTTCTTATAAAACTTTTCAATTAAAAAAAACAATCACTTTGTTAGATGTGCCAAACTAAGAGTTTGGAATAAATATAAAACAATGTTTTCCATGAAGTTGCCTTTTTGGGTATGCCCCCAGGAAGCTTTTTTTAAGAAAAGAAATGGTGGCAAAAGCGGATTGATGACTTATGGTAAAATAATATATTTCAATTCTGATGACCTCAAGTTGAGGAAAGAGTTAGAATTAGAAGGCCATGTTTGCCATTGGTTCATATACCAACAACTGAAAGAAAGATTTAAACTAGATAAAAAGATTTATAGGTTTGACTTTGTTAAAAATGAATTGGAAATCTTATTCTGTGATAGGAATAAACATATTATTGCTAAGGTTTATAAAATGTTATTAAAACTGAATTTGTAAAACATTGTATGATTCAGTGGGCAAGGAACTTTGGCCATAATATGATGCTTGAACAACGGGAGAATATGTGGACAAAAGGTTTAAAATTCACACTAAACTATAATTTAAAAGAAAAATTTTATAAGGTGATGTATCATTGGTATTTTACATCAGACAAGTTATCCAGAATATATAAAGGTATTTCAAATGAATGTTGGAAATGTAAATGTAAAGAAGGGAACTTTTATCATTTGTAGTGGACATGTGATAAAGCAAAGAAATATTGGAGTAGGATTCATATTCTAATACAGAAAATTCTTAAAGTGAAGATAAAGATGAAACCAGAAACTTTTCTTTTCTTAATGGAAAAAGACATGGGGGGGAAATTGGAACTCTGATCTTATATATGTTGATGGCAGCAAGACTACTGTATGCACAAAAATGGAAGGACATTTCGATTTGCACTATGGATGAATGGAGTTGATGGAGTTAGCAGAGATGGCTAAATTGACCATTTTGATCAAACAAAGAATATGAGTACTTTTGTTTCTACTTGGAAATTGCTTCTGGACTTTGTGCTTGAGGTGGGAAAAAATGAAACTTTGATTTTGGGTTTTACTGATTAGATTGATTTGTCATTATAGAAATGGCTAATTTATACTATTATGGAACAGTAAAAAGTTGAGGTTCAACCTTAATGCCTTATTCTACTGCAACAGAGGGAGTCAGAAGTCAATGTGTTTTTTCTTTTCCCCCTCTTTTCCACACTTCTCTCTTCCCCTTCCCCTCCCCTATTTTTCCTACTATTTGCTTTTGTATTTTTGTATTTTATATTATAAACTGATAAAAAAAACAGATCTGCAAACATCTAGAAACAAATACAGTTATAACTAGAAGTCAGCATTGTTAAAGTCAGATTGTTAAAAACATCATGCCAAACCAATCTTATTTCATTCTTCAACATAGTGACTAAATTAGTAGACCAGTGAAATGTTATGGACATAGTATATTTAGACTTCAGCAAGGCATTCGACAAAATAAACCGCAACCTACTTCTTGGTAAACTAGAAAAAAGTGGGCTAGATAGCATCACCACCAGATGGATTTGTAACTGGTTAACAAACCATACTCAACAAGAAGTTCTTTATGGTACTATGTCTACATCAAGGGAAGTAAGCAGTGGGGTACCACAAGGTTCCATCTTGGGCCCAATACTCTTTAATATTTTCATAAATGACTTAGATGAGGGAATAGAAGGGGAACTTACCAAATTTGCAGATAATACTAAGCTGGCAGGAATAGCCAACACCCTAGATGATAGGGTCAAGATCCAGATGGATCTCAACAGACTTGAACACTGGGCCCTATCTAACAAAATGAAATTCAATGTAGAGAAAAGTAAAGTCTTACACTTAGGCAAGAAAAAACAAAAATACATGTACAGTTTAGGTGAAACCTGGCTTAATAGCAGTAACTGTGAGAGGGATTTTTGAGTCCTAGTGGACAATCAACTGAATATGAGTCAGTAGTGTGCTGCAGCTGCCAAAAAAGCCAATGCAGTCCTAGGCTGCATTAACAGAGGACTGAATCAGGATCACATGAGGTACAGTACTAGCACCGCTTTATAAAGCCTTTGTAAGGCCACACCTAGAATACTGCATCCAGTTTGGATCACCACACTATAAAAAAGATGTTGAGATTCTCGAAAAAATAAGAGAAGAGCAACAAAGATGATTACGGGCCTGGAGGCTAAAACATCTGACAAACGGTTGTAAGAACTAGGCATGGCTAGTGAAGAAAAGGATCAGGGGTGACACGTCAGTGTTCCAATATTTGAGGGCTGTCATAGAGAGGATGGGGACAATCTATTTTCCAAAGCACCTGAAGGCCAGACAAGGAACAATGGTTGGAAACTGATCGAGGAGAGATTCAACCTAGAAATAAGGAGAATTTTTTTGACAGTAAGAACAATCAACCAGTGCAACTGCTTGCCTTTAGAAGTTCATCACTGGAGGCTTTCAAGAAGAGACTGGACAGTTACTTGTCAGAAATGGTATAGGGTCTCCTGCTTAAACAGGGGGTTGGACTAGGTGACCTACAAGGTCCCTTCTCCTGTGTCTTTTGCATATTTTAATGATTATTTTTATTTTTATTAATTATTGCTTTAGATATTTATTGTTTGATTATAGGAATTAGGTATGGCTAGTGAAAAAAGGACTAGGAGAGACATGATAGTATGGTACCAATATTTAAGGGGTTCCTACAAAGACGAGGGGGTCAACCTATTTTCCAAAGCACAGAAGGCAAGACAAGAAGCAATGGATGGAAACTAATCAAGGAGACAAGCAACCTAGAACTAAAGAAAAATTTCCTGACAACGAGAACAATCAACCAATGAAGCAGTTTGCCTTCAGAAGTTGTGAGTGCTCCATCACTGGAGCTTTTTAAGAAGAGATTGGACAGCCATTTTGTCCAAAATGGTATAGGGTCTCCTGCTTAAGAGGGGGTTGGACTAGAAGACCAAGGTCCCTTCCAACTCTGTTCTGTTCTGTTCTGGTCTAAAATGCTTCCTTCTCCCACTGCAGCCCATACACACTCAGTCTTTATAAACAGTTTGCAAGTATCCTTACCCACTGGATATTTGCCATAAAGTTTGTTTGTTCTGATGAGACAAATGTTTGGAAGTTTCCACCATAAACATGCAAAAGGCTCCTACAACAGTTATTGGGAAGCTTTTCTTCAGTAAGCTCAAAGCCTTCTTTATCAGTTTTTTTGCAGAAGTAATTTGACCCATATTGTAACAGACCTACAGACATGCAGATAGAATAAAAGAAATTGATAATTTTTTTTGTATATCTCCTTTATGATGCCTAAAAATGTGTCATAAAATCATGTTCTTGCAGCATGGCTAAATATACTTAAAACACAAGAATATATATTTAAAGCAGCCAAGAAGAAATAATGAGGCTTCTTCTGTACTAAGCACTTTTATGAAATTATTTTTGTATCCTTATATAATGTAGCAGAAGAAGACACAGCACTTTGTAGGGTATTCTACTTGCCTCTTATCTATCTCCTCTGTTTTCATGGTTGCTCCAGAGATGGGTTAGGGAGCAGAGGAAGGGAGATAAAGGATATGGCAGAATTATATCAAAGAAGCATTGTAAAAAACCAGCAAGATCAAGAGGTGTGTCATACCTTACAAATCAATCAATGAATTGTGAAAAGCTTCTGAGGCCATTTCTTTAATAAATCTAAATGTAGGGAGAGGCTGATCATTAAAAGTGGCAATGGAAGAATTTCTGTTACAGCAAATCAAGCACTGCGACATGAAGGAAGACCATATCATAAAATGACAACTGATGTAATACTGTACATTTGACTGAGCAGCTGTAGAGAATGGGATATTCTAGTGGGCTTTACTATATTCAGAGAAGTGGTAAGTATGCAAATGGCTACAGCAGACACAATCGTCTTACCTCTCCCTTCAGGCTGTACAAAATGGACACCTCAAATTGGTTAATGAGTTTATGCTTGTATTCCGAAGATCTCAAGAGGCTCTCTGCTGTATTCAGATATGTAAAGGCCTCAAATAAGAATAACAGAACAGAAAGAATTCATTTCTGCATTTTATATGGTGATCCCCAATTACCAACAATTCTCTCACCATAGGTTATAAATTCTCAAGGACAAATATTCAGATACCATAGAGGGGGTGAATCCAGGGTGCAGACATAGCATCTATTCACCATATAGAATCTGTTCACCATATAGAAAAAGATAATCTGGTAAACCAGTTCAGTTTTTTTATAGGGGGGAAGTAATTTGGGTCTTTGTTATTTTGGCAAGGCACAACAACTTGCCAGGTTTAACAGTATTTTGGTTAGCTATACCTACTCAGACAGAAAAGAGAGAACAAGCTTACTTTAAATATAAAAGTGATGAACTAAAATATGCTGATTTGCAAAGTGGCATGTTCTCCCAGCACTAAAATTTAGTATTATGATCAGTAGTGGGACTCAGCTGGTTCGCACCAGTTTGGGAGAACCGGTAGCTAACTTTCTGAGCAGTTTGGCGAACCGGCTGTTGGAAGAAATCTCCTTCCAACAGCCTTTTGTTTTTCGCACCTTATTATTTATTTATTAGTTCAATTTATATGCCACCCTTCTCCGGAGACTCAGGGCGGCTTACAATGCATTTAGAAAACCATTATAAAAACATTTAAAAATTAAAACATTAAAACCCATTCACACCATTCATGGCCGGATTTCACAAGATCACAACAGCGAGATAATGGCCCCAGACCTGCCAGAAAAGCCAGGTCTTTACCACTTTTCGGAAGGCCAATAGGGTGGGGATGGTCCGGACCTCAGGAGGTAACTGGTTCCAGAGAGCTGGGGCAGCCACAGAGAAGGCCCTCCCCTGCGGGCCCGCCAGCCGGCATTGTTTAGCTGACGGGACCCGGAGGAGACCAACTCTGTGGGATCTTACCAGTCGCTAGGAGCTATGTGGTAGAAGGCGGTCTCAAAGATAACCTGGCCCTGAGCCATATAGGGCTTTAAAGGTAATAACCAACACCTTGAATTGTGCTCGGAGACCAATAGGGAGCCAGTGCAGCTCATGGAGAATTGGTGTAATGTGTAATCTAGGTACACCCACGATAGCTCGCGCAGCTGCATTCTGGACCAACTGTAGTCTCCGAACACTTTTCAAGGGTAGCCCCATGTAGAGCGTGCTGCAATAATCTAACCGTGAGGTGACAAGGGCATGAATGACAGTGAGGAGAGCCTCCTGATCCAAGTAGGTTCGCAATTGGTCTACCAGGCGAACCTTTTTAAAGGTCCCCCTAGCCACAGCTGTCAGATGTTGCTCTAATCTTAGCTGTGAGTCTAGGAGGACACCCAAATTGCGAGCCCGTTCTGAGGGGGACAATTTCTCCCCCCCCCCGAACCAAGGATGGACAATCAACATAGTCTTTAGGAGGCAATACCCACAGCCACTCGGTCTTGTCTGGGTTAAGTCTGAGCCTGTTGACTCCCATCCAGACCCTCACAGCCTCCAGGCACCAGCACATCACATCCACTGCATCACTGAATTGATGCGGGGTAGAGATATACAGCTGGGTATCATCAGCGTATTGCTGATATCTCACCCCGTATCGTCAGATGATCTCACCCAGCGGCTTCATGTAAATGTTAAATAGGAGGGGAGAGAGGACCGAGCCCTGAGGCACCCTGCAAATGAGGGGCCTAGGGGTCGAACTCTGTCCTCTTATCAACACCGACTGTGACTGACCAGAGAGATAGGAGGAGAACCACCGTAATACGGTGCCTCCCACTCCCAACTCCCTTAGTCGTCCCAGAAGGATACCATGGTCAATGGTATTGAAAGCCGCTGAGAGGTCAAGTAGCACCAAGATGGAGGAATGACCCCCATCTCGGGCTCGCCAGACCAAAGTAGTTTCCGTGCTGTAGCCAGGCCTGAAGCCAGACTGAAAAGGGTCCAGATAATCCATTTCATCCAATGACCGCAGGAGCTGAAGTGCCACCACTTTCTCTACAACCTTTCCCACAAAGGGTAGGTTGGAGATTGGATGAAAGTTCTTTAATTCTGCTGGAGGTTTATCCTGTCAGAAAGGCAGGAAGGAGGCATTTTGGTGTGGTTCTGTGTGTTGTTTCTAGCCTAATCCTGTTTATCTTTATTGCCCTTCTTAAGTGTTTTCTGAAACTGTCTCTGTGGGTAAGCCTTGTTACATTGTAACAGCTGTTAATGGTTCTTGGCAGTACACCCAGACTTTCTATAGCCTGAACAGCTTCTCTGGAGTTTTTTTCCCCTTTGCTGGTACTTTTATTCCAGGGCTTGACTTTCTTAAAGGGGAAGGATTGTTTTAAGCCTTTTACACTGCTTTAGTGGTTCCTGGCACTGTCCTTTTGGGGTGTACTTCCAACATGGTTGAATCCCCTCCCAGCCACTCCTTGCCTCCTCCATCCCTAATCAGGCAACTCAGCTTGGATCGTCAGAGGCATTTAAGAGAAAAAAAGCCTCTGCCGATCAGGCAACTCAGCTGGGATCATTAGAGGCTTTTAAAAGCATTTTTTCTACAACCTCTGAAAAGGTTAAAAGCCTTTGACAATCCCAGCTGAGCCGCGCAATCATCAGAGGCTTTTTTTTTTTTACTTTTAAAAACATTTTTTTGGCCGAAGAGGTTGTAGAAAAAATGCTTTTTTTAAAAGCCTCTGATGATTGTGCGGCTCAGCTGGGATATCTTTGGGATATCTTGTGAGGTAAATGAGACCAGCCAGCATCTTTAAGTAGTGCAAATGGATCTAAGGATTGCTTCTCCTGGGTGGGAAAGGTTGCTTTGTCAGTTCACTGAGCACAGGAGTCTCTTCTCTATGGGGATTCTTCAGTCATTCAAGCCATGGTTGTCCCAAAGCTGCTTTTTTCAAGAGGCAACTGGACTTTCTTGGTTTCTAGAAAGTCCAGTTGCCTCTTGAAAAAGCACCTTTGGGACAGGAGTCTCTTGCATTGCTTTGGAGTGGCCAAGGCACATGATTGCTCACTGACAGTAAGATTAAAAAAAAAAGGAGGTAGCAGTGTAGAGCCTCCCTGCAATTAGTTTTAGTTTTTTCTCATGATAGTAGGCTTAGTAACATGGCACCAGGGTTGAAGTTTATTTAAATATCTGTGGCATGTACTAATTTTATTGTGATCCTGACAAGCTTGGGAGGGCAGAGACTTGAACTTGGGTCCCCTATATACTTTTTAATTTGTCTCTTTAGCTCAGCATTTTGTAGCCCAAGTATGCCCACCCACTTTCTGAAGAACTTAAATGACCACTCTGCTAAAGGGTTTCACTTTATGAGCAAGAGTTGGCTGCTGATAGTTATCGTTGCATTTTAACTATTTTAATTCCTCAAAAAGAGCCTTGGTAGTACAGTGGTCTAAAGCACCCTGTTATTAACACAGCTGCCTGCAATTACTGCAGGTTCGAATCTTATCAGGCTCAAGGTTGACTCAGCCTTCCATCCTTTCTAAGGTAGGTTAAATGAGGACCCAGTTTGTGGGGGCAATAAGCTGACTTTGTATAAATATACAAAAGTATGAAGGCTATTGCTTAATGCATTGTAAGCTGCCCTGAGTCTCCGGAGAAGGGCGGCATATAAATCAAATAAAAAAAAAAATGCTCTGGCACCCTGCCTGATTTGTAACTCTGGGTTGCAGGTATTGCTGATGAAAATGAAAGTATTTGGACAGAATAGTTTCCATGATGGCTGTGACTTCAGTGTGTAGTTCCCCATTTCTAATCTAATGATTGGTATTTAGGGCAGCTTTTTGCAAGCAAACAAGCTTTTTGTATTTGTTCAGATTTGAAGGGTATTATAACTGCTTTTCAGCTACATGGAAAAGATTACTTTAATCTGTAAATAAGTTATTTATATTCATAGAGAGCCAGTTGGGTATAGTCAGGGGTGGGATTCACCCGGTTCGCACAGGTTCGGGTGAACTGGATATTAATTTCAATCTGGTTCGCCAAACTGGTTGTTCCAAGGACTGGCTGACCCCACCCACCTCACCCCGCCCCTCCCAGGAGTCTCCACATGGCCCATTTTGGATGCCAGGTAAGTGCAGGGCGCGTGTGGAGTCTCTGAGAGGGCAAAAAATGGGCCTACCAAAAAAAGCTGCCCTAAATACCAGAAGTCTGGAAACGGTGCCCAGGGGAGGCCGTTTTCACCCCCCCAGAGGCTCGAGGAAAGCCTCCGGAGCCTGGGGAGAGTGAAAAATGGGCCTACCGGAAGTGCCAGAAGTCTGGAAACAGGCCCATTTCTGGCCTCTGGAGGACGCGTGAAGTGAACCAGTTGTTACAACTGGTGAATCCCACAATTAGGTATAGTGATTGAAGACATCAGATCCCGTTTTAGGCACAATTTGGGTGATCTTGGCTCAGTCATTTCTCCCAGCCTTAGGAAGGAAACAATGAAGAATTGCTTCTGAAAATCATTGCCAAGAAAACTGCCCAGACTAATTCAGGCAATTGCCAGGAGTCAAGACTGACTGGAAGGCATGCACTCAAGCACACATAGGATGTTTATCTTTTCTTTTTAATTAAGTGATTTTGCTTATCTGTTGCAAAATTAGTCTCCTGCCAAAAGAGCAAGGGATAAATCCTCCAGCCACTTGCCCCAGTATGGTATGGTAGGAAGTAGTGTTACAGAAAATGGCCAGGAGGTATCACTATCAATACTGTTTTACTTTCTGCTCTTTGGCCTTTTTATCACTGGAAGGACAGCATAAGTTGCGAAAGCCATATTTCTCTAGCATATTGAAATTATGGAGTGGATCCCAGGAGAGTGTCCTCTGGCAGACAGATGTGGACAATAGGTACAATCAAGCTACTACTGCAATGCAAAAGCTGGGACCTGGGGATGAGGGGGTGAACTTACAGAGAGGAAATTTGAGGTTTCCACATTTCCACTGGATAAATGCATCTGGAAATGCCTTCACAAAAATGTAGACATCTTTAAGATACCTAAATCTAGAATATCCTTCGCTGTAGGAGTAATGAAGGAGTGAGAAAAGAATGGGTTATTCTACTTACCATGTAGTTGTGGGAGAGGTTGACATAAGCAGATGCAGATTCCAACAGGTAATAAAAAGCCCGACTATAATCCCCTAGAGCCAAGTAGTGCTGAGATAACGGCACAGAAACAGACTCCACAATTTCTTTGCATTCACAGTCCTGTGAGCCGGGGGTCTCGGTCCTTTTCTTGCTCATAAAAGTAAGCAAGATTATTTCATCCATTCTTTTTAAAAATTCCAATTCTGAATTTTCAGCCCTACCAAAAAGAAAGAAGGAATTTCCATAAACTCCCATCTCTAACACACCTCACCCACACAGAAACCGAAAGATACTGAAGCCTAACAATCTTCAAAATTTTTAATTACTATATAATACCAGGTCACGTGTAATAATAAAAACAATGAACTCAGGAAGAGCCAAACTGAAACCCCTACAATGAAGGTTGGTGGGTCACCTGGAACCGACACACATTTCAAAACTAAATTCATGTGAGGCAGCAATCCTGCTAATAAATTCATATATCTGCCATTAAAGTCTAAAAGAAAGTCTTTTTTTTCCTTTTAGAACAATACTTGTACATAAACTCAGTTTGTTTCCTGGATGCCCCCCCCCCCCAAAAAAAAAAGGAAAGAAAAGAGGACAGCTGAAAAAAGTGTTAAGGCTATCAGTCTGTGAAGTAGCACAATGTGTGCCAGCATAAATTTGGTCTGTCCCCACAGCCTTCCCCATTAAAACGAAAAATCAGTGGATTCATGAGAACTGAATGTGGGTCAGGCAGGGCAGTTTTTACATATGTGTAGCAGTTTCTTGTAAGACCTCCACTCCCATACAGTGCCCACAAAGTATGAGTCAGGTATTACATAAGCAGATGATAATTCCTGTGGCCCAAACTATGGGGAAAAAAACTGGTGATCAGAAGGGAAAGGTCAAAAGCAGCCAGGAAGAGTAGGGCAGATCCTAGCCTCTGTTTTGTTTTTATAGCAAAGCATCACAAGTCATGCATTTAAGAAAGAAACTTGTCCAAATAAGAAGGAAAGACACCACATTCACACTGGATCAGAGAAATACAAAGTTATATGACAATAGCTATGTGCTGGATGAGAAGAAGGCTGTATCATGAAGTCATGCTATAGAATACCTAATAAGGCATCTTCTACCTGCACTCAGAATATGTCCAAAGAAAAGAAGGGTGCAACAGAAATTGGGGTGCCACACGTTTTACAGAGGTATATAGAGAAAAGGTTGCCTACAAGCATCTAAAAAAGAGTTAGTGGACCTATACTATTATTGCTCTTAGTATTTGTCTGGCTTAGTTGCAAGGTCCACCTGTATTGCACTAGCCTAGTTTACACACTGAAACTATTAATGCATTGATGTAACAAAGGGATTTTTTTAATCAACTGGCTTTTTTGAACAAAATATTTGAACAAAAATTAAGTGACTGGTCCAAAGTCACTCAGCTGGCTTCCATACCTAATGGAGGATTAAAATCTGGCTGTCAGTTTTGGAAGACTGCTTTTGCTTCTTAACTGCCACATATTTTAGCTGGGGAAGTTGGGAAGGGGTTGTTGTTGGAGCAGTAGAAAGTTAGTCATAACAACATTCCGTATTCAAGGACTTTTGCCTGCATCTGATGAAGACTGCCTGAAGATTGTATCCAGTTGAGTGTGAAGAGTTGATTGAACAATGTGATGAACTTGAGGGTGTGGGGCAGGGCTGTGAACTGTCAGCTGAGTATGGAAAACCTGGAAGCTTTCAGATTTGGGTTTTCCCAGATGTACCAACATGACATCTCTAATAAATTGGAACTTTGAAGAGTTTTATTTCGTTGGGGGTGTTCCTTGGAACCCTGACATTGGCTTTCCCCTTCTTGTCCTCCATCGTATCTTTTACACTATATTAACTGTTAAGAGGGATATATTTGCATAAAATTTACATATGCTGTTTATGTATATAGAAGAAATTGCTAAATATTAATTCCCTAGCAACTTATTTAAAACATTTAAATCCCAGATCTTACAAATAAGAAATATGTAAGAGAGAAGTTTCTCCTCTCTCTCTTCCATTATTACTACAATGATATGAGGTCACCTCTGCTGCTCCTAGATCTATTTTATTTAAAACTATGGTGAATTATTGCCTGTTTTCCCCAAAAGATTGCCTTTAAAAAGAAGGAAACTATGGCCAGGTAGTCAAAATATCCTTAACCCTTTCAGATTTTCTCACCGGTATTCTTGACCACCATGTAGCCTGAGTTAAAAATAACTATTCTGGAAACAAAATACCCACCTACTTTCTCCTAGAAGTGCCTAAAATCCCATGAGCCCTTATGCCAGAAGAATATTTAGCAAGGATTCATGACATCAGTAGTTGTTTCCCTTGGCCAGGCAGACAGCAATACCACAGGGATGTCTTGGTCTCTCCTAGCACTTAGTGCTTAGTCACTTCCCGTATTGACTACTGCAATGCTCTCTACTTGGGGCTGCCCTTGAAGACCACTTGGAGGCTTCAGCTGGTACAGAATGCGGCCGCGCGGGTTATGATGGGAGGGTCCTAATACTCCCATGTTACACCTCTCCTGCGTGATTTGCATTTGTTGCCGGTTGCCCTCAGGTGAGATTCAAGGTGCTGGTGATTACCTATAAAGACCTTCATGGCCCCCACGGAGAGGGCTCGCAACTTGGGCGTCCTCCTGGATTCACGGCTGTCTTTAGAAGAGCACTTGACGGCCGTGACCGGGAGGATTTTTTATCAGGTCCGCCTGATTCGCCAGTTGCGTCCCTTTCTGGATCGGGACTCGTTACGCACGGTCACTCATGCCCTCGTCACCTCCCGCCTGGACTATTGTAATGCTCTCTACATGGGGCTCCCCTTGAGGAGCACCCGGAGGCTCCAACTGGCGCAGAGTGCGGCCGCGCGGGTGGTAATGGGAGCGACATGGCGCTCCCATGTAACACCTCTCCTGCGCGAGCTGCACTGGCTCCCGGTGGTCTTCCGGGTGCGCTTCAAGGTTCTGGTTACCACCTTTAAAGCGCTCCATGGCTTAGGGCCTGGTTATTTACGGGACCGCCTACTACTACCAATAGCCTCCCACCGGCCAGTACGCTCTCATAGAGAGGGACTCCTCCGGGTGCCGTCAGCCAAACAGTGTCGACTGGCGGCCCCTAGGGGGAGAGCCTTCTCTGTGGGGGCACCTACCATCTGGAATGAGCTCCCCCCGGAGATACGGAGGATCCCGGATCTGCGCTCCTTCCGCCGTGCTGTGAAGACCTTTTTATTCCATCAAGCGGGCTTGGCCTGATCTCTTCCCTTTTTAAAATATGTAAATTTTAATCTGTTTTTAAATTATTGGGGTATTTTAATTTGTCTGGGCCAAAAAGTTTAATTTGATTTTATCGGGTTTTTAAATTTTGTGTATTTATGTATTTTATTGTTGGCTGTTCACCGCCCTGAGTCCTTCGGGAGTAGGGCGGTATACAAATAAAATAAAATAAAATAAAATAAAATAAATGGCTTAGGCCCAGGATATCTGTTGGACCATCTGCAACCAGCAACAGCTCCCCATCGCCCGGTGCGTTCTCACAGGGAGGGCCTATTCAGGGTGCCGTCGGCTAGACAATGTTGGCTGGCGACCCCCAGAAGTAGAGCTTTCTCTGTGGGGGCTCCCACCCTTTGGAATCAACTTCCGCTGGGGCTCCGGTTGGCCCCTGACCTTCACACCTTCCGCCGTGAATTAAAAACATGGCTGTTCAAATTGCCCAGCCTGGACTGATGGGGTTTGGATTATTTTAATATGTTTAATATGTGTTTAATATGTATTTTAACATGTTTTATCTGGTTTGATTTTAATTGTTGTGAGTCGCCCTGATTCCTATGGAGATAGGGCGGCATACAAATCAAAATAATAATAATAATAATAATAATAATAATAATAATAATAATAATAATAATAATAAATGAGCTGTGCTATAAGGTTTGTGGAGCAGTGGTGGGTTGCCCCTGGTTCGCACCGGTTCTATAGAACTGGTAGTAAAACCGGCGGGAGGCTCCGCCCACCGACCCAATGTCATCAAAACGCTTCTGCGCTTGCGCAGAAGAGCATGTGTGCGCGGCCCCGCCGCGAACCTGTAGTATAGGTAAGTAGAACCCACCCCTGCTGTGGAGCATATTAATTATCTCCTGAAGCTTGGAGAAGTATATAGGCATTTATATTATCAATACAGTGTGTTTTGATTCAGTTAGAATGACTGTGGTAATTCTCACTACTAACTTACACTAGTATCTTCTAGAATTATCGAACCATTGCTGGTTAGATAACTGTTAAAATAATAGTAATGCAGAAAAGCTTTGTGCTATTGTGCTATTTCAAATAATTAATTTCAGTGATTGCTGGGTAATCCTACAAAGACTTTTTAAATCACTACAGTATTTGGGAAATTACCTATATCCAGTCTAGTAAGATCTGGCTGGGTGGGTGAAATATATTATGAGAAGAGCCACTATAAATTTATCAAATTTTCCTCCTCATAGTTGCAGATAGGAAAAGACAGAGTCCTGGGGGACATCACAGGGTGAGTTGCCATCAGAAAGGAATGATAAACAACATGGAACTATCATTTTAGGGCACCTTTTATTTTCAATATATCTAATTCTGCTTTATCTTCCATTTTTGGAGAAAAATAATTAGTCCAATATAAAACTTCTTGGATAAATTTCCAAGAAGAAATTTATCTTGGAAAACTATCCTTAAATAATTGGGTGTGAAATTAGTAAGAGTTTTTGTTACTAAATAATTCTATTCATATAAAATAGTTCCTTGGAGGATTAACAAAGTGCCACATAATCTCATTCCCAATATACCAGACAGTCAGGAACATAAAATTTACTCCCTTCACACCTAAAGGACTCTTGCAAGATGAAGGTTGACCGCAGGGTATCTCCTGTATGAGAACAAGTTGAAGAAAGGTAAATGCCTCATCCTAGAATACTGTAATATATGCTGTGGTTTCTTTTGAAATAATGAAGTGCATAATATTCATAGATTCAAATGAAGGATTTAGAGAATGGGGTTGAATGTTTGAATGGGGATTGTATTGCATTAATCTTTATTGGACAGAAACTAAAATAAATACAAAGATAATACATTATCTTTGTATCCAATTTGTAAGCTTTTTCATATGAGAACCTAACTCTTCCATATCTATAAAATGGAAATTCCCACATAGGTATCTAAAAGGTGTACTTTCAAATACTTAACAATCCCAGTGCAAATTGATACAGCAGTCAGCGCTATTAATATACAGGTGGTCCTTGAATTACAAACATAATAGAACCTGGCCATTATGATTGGAGGTCAGGAGGACATTAAGTACATCACATTGAGTGAGCTCCATTCTTGGCTCTTGCCAATGCATTCATTAAACAAATGAGTGGGTTGTTAAGGGCACTTGGTGTGCCTCAGATAGGGAAAACCATGCAGGCCCTGGTACAGGAACAATATCATCTGTCTCTGGCCTCCAAAGGCCTCCCCCCCAGTGAGATATCCCATATTCTGTTTCCCACCCCTTGGAGTCCCCACAGTTGCTTGTCCTCCTCCACACCCACCCCCTACACCCACCCCACTGTCACTAATCTCTCACCTCTTGAAGATCTCCAGAGCTCAGGATGTCAGGTAGGAAAGAGGACAGGCCACTCCATTGATGGGACACATGGCGGAAAAGCAGCAATCTTTTTCTGAGACCCCGAAGAACTGTTTTTCTTTCATCGCTAGATGCTAACCTTCACTCCCCCAGCAAAGGCAAATGGTGAAGCAGAGAAATCTTCCTTCCCTTCCTTCCTGTTTGCTTTCAGTCCCTGGCTAATGGTGGGGGAATGGAAGGCATGTAGGCAGTGACTAATCTATTCCCTTCCTAGGGCCTTATCTCCTTCTCCCAGTGAATGCACGCAGCCAGCAAAACTCTTCCCTTCCTGTACACTGTCCCTTTCTCCCAGCAAATGTTGTATGCATTTGGGGAGGATGTTGGGGAACTAGATAGGGAGGACGTATTGCAGCATTTCTCTGGTCAGTCATAAGTCTGAATGACCGCAGGGGTGCTGCAACATACGTAACTTCGGGACTGGGTCATAAGTACTTTTGCGGGGAGAGGGGGGGGGTTGTTGTCATAACTTTCAACAATTGCTAAGTGGCCTGTTGTAACTCGAGGGCTATCTGTAATCTTGTTTAACTCAATCAGATTAGAGCTGGAAGGGATCTTGAAGGTCTTCTAGTCCAACCCCCTGCTAAAGCAGGAGACACTATGGCTATGTTATCCATGGTAATTGACATGAATAGAGTTCCCAATAGAGCTCTGTGTTTTAAAAAATCACATCATCAATCCTTACATACATTATTCATATACCGCTATATTGGAAATAATCATATATGATATGGTTCTCTCTGTGTGAAAAGATCTATCAAGAAATGGCAAAATAAGATGACAGATGGGGAAAACATCCTTCATTTCTTTGAGTTTTGCTAAGCAAAAATAAGTGGGATACAGTAGATAGAGAATATCCCATAGAGATAAATGCCCAATCAAACTTGGCCAATAAATAATATTCCTGTGCCTATAGTGTTCTATGAATATGTTTCCCTATCGAAAATACAAAATTTTTAGGAGGCAAATATTTATTGCAAGCTCTCATCACCTTAACAAATGTTTTTAACAGATTAACAGTTGGAAAGTAGGTCTTCTAGTCCAACTCCCCTCCCAAGCAGGAGATCCTACACCACTTCTGACAAATGGCAGTCCAATCTCTTCTAGAAGGCCTCCAGTGATGAAGCTACCACAACTTCCGAAGGCAAGCTGTTCCATTGGCTGATTGTTCTACTGTCAGAAAATTTCTCCTGATTTCTAGGTTGAATCTTTCCTTGTTCAGTTTCCATCCTTTATTCCTTGTCTGGCCTTCAGATGCCTTGGAAAATAGTTTGATCACTTCACCTCTGTGAAGGTCCCTCAAATATTGGAACACTGCTATCATGTATCCCCTGGTCCTTCTCTTCATTAGACTAGCCATGCCCAGTTCCTGTAACCGTTCTTCATATGTTTTAGCCAGGAGTGAAATTTACTTACCTTCCTTACCGGTTCGGAAGTGCTCGCTATGCTTGCTCGCGCGTGTGTCACATACGCACACAGACTCTCTGTACATGTGCAAACCTTCTGTGCATGCACAGAGGGTAAAAAACACATTACTTCCTGGCTGAAACCAGGAAATAATGACACCCGGGTGGAGCCTTGCACCACCATCACTACTGGTTCTCTGAACCACCTGCCACAATCGCTACCGGATTGCCCGATCTGGTCCGAACGGGAGCATTTCACCCCTGGTTTTAGCCTCCAGTCCTCTTATCATCTTGGTTGCTCTTCTCTGCACTTTTTCTAGAGTCTCAACATATTTTTTATAGTGTGGTGACCAAAACTGGATGCAGTATTCTAGGTGTGGTCTTACTAAGGCTTTATAGGGTGGTATTAGTACCTCACTTGATCCTAATTGTGTCCCTTTGTTAATGCAATTTCAGATTGCATTGGCTTCTTTGGCTGCTGCCACACACTGCTTGCTCATATTTAACCAGTTGTGCACTAAGACTCCAAGATCTCTCTCACAGTTACTGCTATTAATCCTGGTTTCACCTAGTTCCGTGATGGCGAACCTATGGCACGCGTGCCAGAGGTAGCACCCAGAGACCTCTCTGTGGGCACATGCGCCTTCACCAGCTGCTCTTCTGGTTTCCAGTGTGCACATGTGCACTGGCCAGCTGGTCTTTGCGGGCTTTGGAGTGCTGGAAAATGGCCTGAAAACAGCCCAAAAAACGCCCAAAAAACAGGTCATTTTCCAGGCCATTTTCTGGGCCATTTTTTTGGCTGTTTTTCGGGCTGTTTTCTGGCTGCTTTTTGGCCATTTTCAGGCCATTTGGGGGGCATTTTTGGACTATTTTCAGGCCATTTTGGGGTGTTTTTTGGCCATTTTCTGGCCATTTTTTGGGAGTTTTCCAGGCTATTTTCTGGCTGTTTTGAGGGCATTTTCTGGGCTGTTTTTTAGCCATTTTGGGGCTATTTTGGGGGTGTTTTCCAGGCTGTTTCCAGGCCAATTTTGGGGAATTTTCTGGCTGGTTTTTGGCCATCTTCAAGCTGTTTTTTGGGCCTAAAATGGCCTGAAAACTGGCCTGAAAACAGCATGAAAATGGCCCGAAAAATGGCCAAAAACGGCCAAAAAACAGGAATGCATGTGCCAGCCAGCTGGTCTTTGGGTTTCTGGTGCTCCGGCACACACAAAGACCAGCTGGCCAACGTGCATGCACATGCCAGAAACCCGAAGACCAGCTGGCCTGTGCATGGATGCACACTGGCCAGCTGGCCTTTGGGTTTCTGTTGCTCCGACGCATGCACATGCATGCACATGTATGTGCATTCCGGTTTGGGCACTCGGTGCTGAAAAGGTTCGCCAGCACTGACCTAGTCTATATGTGTACTTTTGGTTTTTCTTGCCTAAGTGTAGGACTTTACTTTTCTCTACATTGAATTTCATTTTGTTAGATAGGGCCCAATGTTCAAGTCTGTTCAAGTTCTGTGGTTTTTTATACAGTACTGCTTCTTTCTTGGAAATACCTAAAAATTAATTTACAGCCCAAATGAACTGGTAGAAGAGATCCAATTTTAAACTGGAAGTAGATGACAAGTGCAGTGTCGTTTACCCTAAAGGCCCTTGGGAGATCTGAAATGGCAAAATCATGAACTTTCCAATAAATATCCACCTGTAAGCAAAAGAAAGGAACCCTGTTGGACCGCTGTGGCCCAATTGCATCATCTCTCAAAGCCAGTAACCTAGGTCTGTGATCAGTTCAGTTTTGTCTAAAACAATGAAACTATATCCTATCATCTCTATTAACATATTATTCAAAAACAATCATTTTTTTCTTTCCCTCTTCTAAACAGAAATATTTTAGGTGAGGAAATTGGGGTTAGAGATGTCACCTGGAATGTTGTATGAGAGAGGACGGATCTTTCCCTTTCTGGTTTTTAGGTGGATGCATCGTTTTGACAATTATCCACAACCTCACTATTTTTAATATTACTTATCATGCTTAAAAGATTTACCTGTAGTAAGCTGCCGTGTTTTAATTCTACTATCCTTCCATTCTATTAGTGTGTCTGAAGGAAAAAATAACACATGAAAAGATATCTTAACCCTTTGATCTAATTTCATCATTCAGGAGAGAATAACTCTGTTCTTGTACAGAAGTATAAATAAAATCACTTTACCACCACTTGATTCCATCAGAGCAGCAACACTCGGATGTCTAGCACTGAAGAAAAAAGAATAATCTGCTTTTTCTGTAAAGGAAACAAATACAATTCTAGAATAAATCCATAGGAAACTAATTCTTGATCCATAATCCATGAAAATCAAGTGTTAAACTATCATCAGCCAACAGCATATAAAAAGAACTACTGAACAACTGAAGCAAAAAGGATGGTAAAATTGGGATGATTCACTTAAAGACCACATCACTTAGCAATGGAAGTTTCCATCCCAGTTGTATTCATAAGTCAAGGACTACCTTGACTTACTTTTGAAAAACAAAAATACTAAAATGTGTACCCTAAAACAGTACCTGGCATCAGTCCTGCAAGAGCTTCCAGAAAAACTCTCTTTTTACAGAAAGTGTTTAAGTTGGGGCCAGTCAAACTTTCCATGGAAAACCACTCAAAGGAGTACCCCAATTACAGAAAAATAATGCCTCTGGGGGGTATATCTCTCAGCATGACTGAAGTGGTTGGGGCAATTCCAGTCTAGTGGTTAACCTCATGCCAAGCCATTAAGGGCTTTAAAGGTTAAAATCAGAACTTTAAATTACATTTGGAAGCTAATAGGAAGCCAAAGCAAGGTCCATAAAACAGATGTAATGTGTACCCACTGACAAACACTAATGAGCACTCAAACTGCTGCATTTTATACCAAGTGCAGCTTCCAGATGATCTTAGAAGTCCACTGATGTAAAACATTGGTATATCAGATGTTAAAAAATCAGGTCAAATGAAGATTATTTTAGCAATAACACTTGGTGGTCTAACTTTATTTCTTAATTCAGTAACTTTAACAAATTATGAAAATGTTTTAGATGTCTTTTTACTTGTAGAGTACTCTGTGATATGCTGGTTAGCAAGCTAGTTAACTGGTGGTGGTGATATGATAATTACATTAATATTGTACATCACTGTCTCAAAATCAAATTTAAAAGATATGCACAAATATTTCCTGTTTAAACTGGAGAAACATATCAAGTGGGTGCTACAAGAATCAGGCTTGTTTTCCCTATTTTTCCATGTTTTATTAATGACATGGAGAAAGATGGCAGGTAATTCATACCTAGTGCATGCTAATAACTATCAGACAATGGAGTCAGTTATTCAAAGAATTGTAGGACTCCATCTGATCTATTCACACACAGTCTAGGTAACTGTCTGGGATGCTTTAATGTGGGTTTCTGAACTGAAAAGAGAAATAGACTCAAAAGCCTAAGGGGCCCTACCAGCATTATGATTCTATAGTTAATACATTTTCATTGCCTGTCATCCAAGTGATAGACAAACAGACTTTATTAATTATATATTGGAAAAATATTCCAGGCACTTTACCAATAAAATAATTGGCTGAATTATACCAATTGCTGCTATTCTTCAACCCAACAGGACTGTATCTTTAAAAATCATATATTCACCCCACCCTTTTTTTTAAGCATCCTCTCTGCATTTTCAGATTGGAGATTCCAGGAGCTTCAGACTATGCTTGAAGGAACAATTCATGCAAGCCAGAAGCATCACAGGATTTGCTTACCAAGTAACTGCTGATAAAGAGGTTTGAATAGAAACAAAGTCTTCTTGCTATTGCTCCTTACTATTAACGTGCAAGTAAATCCCCTTACTTATAAATGGCAACTTCCTTACTCATTTCAGATCCACTCAACATTCCATTAATCCCTTATGATACCTATTCTCCTGATTATATAGCTTCCTCCCATTCACCCGGTGGTGAAATTCAAAAATTTTCCCTACCGGTTCTGTGGTCATGGCTTGATAGGCATGGCTTGGTGGTCATATGACTGGGTGGGTGTGGCTTGGTGGTCATATGACTGGGTGGGCATGGCTTGGTGATCATGTGACCGAGAAAACCAACTATCACACTTTACACAAAAATAACACAAAAGCTATACAACTGACTCACACACAATGCAAAAGCAGCTGGACTTCACACAAAATGGCCCTTGCAACAAGTGGGAACCTCACAGAATCACAGAGAGCTCAAAAACAAACTATCACACTTTACACAAAAATACCAGTTCGGGCAATAGGTAGCAAAAAAATGTTTTTAAAAGTTTTCTAAAAAGTTCCAACCATTGCATGGCACAGCTGCTTGGCACAGCTGATTGTCGGAACCTTTTAAAACTTTTTTAAAGCATTTTTTTACTACCTATTGCCTGAACCGGTAGTAAACAAATGCTAAAAAAAAAAAGTAAAAAAAAAAGTTCAGATGATCAGCTGTGCCGTGCGATCATGGGAACTTCTTTTTTAACTTTTTAAAGCATTTTTTTTAACTACTGGTTGCAGCCAATCAGTAGCATTTTCACTACCGATTTGGGCGAACCGCCCTGAACTAGTACCATTTCACCCCTGCATTCACCCTCTTTGCTAGTATAGAGACAGAAAAAGTCCAAGCAGCAGAAATATTGTATTCTCATAAATCATGGATTCCCATATTAAGTGTAGACAGCTGCAGATTTATGATTTAATTGAAAAGGCTATGAGCCTGCAGATTGGCCCTTGGAGGACACAGGAGCCATTCATGCTCCTGAAAAGAGCTCTAATTTCAACAACACTGTTCAATATTAAATCAACTTTCTCACAGCAAAGGAGCTGAAAATCCTGCTTCTAGATACAGTGGAAAGTTTTATCAGTACTTATTACTTCTGGTTATTCTGATTCAAATTCTGAGCTGGAGCTCATCTATCCAGCCCTCAGGAATACCACCATCTCTGGATGGAGAGTCAGAAAGCAAGGAGACAGAGTAGTACTCTGTCACACAGAAGCATATGGCACAGGCAGAGCTACCTGCTGCTTGAACGGAATGGGACGGCTCACAGCGGCCAGGTGGGCATGGCTGGGTGGTTGAGCTGAGTTGCCATGACCAGGTAGGTGTGGATGGGTGCATGAAGCTAGCTTGACACAGCTGGCTCAATGCCGCTTACTTGATGTGGTTCCAGGTGAGTGTGGCTGGGTAGATGCAGCTGGCACTGACTTGGGTTGGCATGGAACAAGTCATACCAACTAACTTGACGTGGGGACAACTCATGCCCCACAACCTTGTCTCCCCAAACTGCCAGCAGCCAAGTATGTGTGTGCATACACACACACACACACACACACACACACACACACACACACACACCATTCCGAGTTTGGGGACTTTTATCTTCTTCTTGCTCTCCAGAGATCTGTCAACGCAGAACTTTAACTCTGCACCTCCACGTGCATCTCTCCTCCTCCTCCTCCTCCTCCTCCTCCTCCTCCTCCTCCTCCTTTGCCTGTTCAGCCTCCCCCCCCATCCCAGATCTCCCCTTCTACCCCCTCCTTTTCTCCAGAGATCTGTCAAGGCAGAAGTTGGACTCAGAGGAAACTGTTTCCTGCAAACTTTCTGTCATGCCCTCGTTGGAGCCTGAATTTGTGGAGGAAGACGAGCTGGAACCTGAGCCGACAGAGATTGAGGGGGTGGCTTTGTTGGCTTTGGAGGAAAATGAAGGGAAGGGCCAGTCAGACCAGGGCCTTTCAGGATTAGAACAGCTTGTAGACAGGGAGGAACAGGGGCAGGATGAACATGAGAGACAGAGCTTAGGTGAGGAGTAAGGAGTAAGGACTACCCCCTCCTGATCCAAGAGCACGGAGAATGGAGAGAAGGTGGGAACAGCACAGACTGAGCAGGCTACTTGGGAGAATAGTGCCCCGCCCATCTTCACAAGGCAAATCTGGGGAATGAGACTTAAGGAGAAGCTGTGGGGAGGGGTATTTGTCAGGAACAAATGCTGTTATTGAAGTGTTTAAGTGCCGACGTTTGAACTTTCCAAGAGTCCTTGCATTCTTTTTGGCTTTCTGGACTAATTAACTGGATCCTTTACTTTCTGAACTCCTTGATTTGCCCTGCTGGATTTATTGCTGTGCAGCCTTAGTTATACAGAGCTGGGTTGGACTATTTGCAGCCAGAGGCTGCTTGAGGTGTGTGTCGGGATTTGCCATCACTTTGCTCTGGGACTTGCCAGAAATGTGGGAACATTTGGGGAAATTCGGACCATAAAGGGGCAGTTTGAACTGCCAGCTGTCTGTGTTATCTCTGTGCCGTGCCCCAGGTCATCACACTTTCTCCTGCACACTTTCATGCACAGCACTGTCATCCTCCACCTCCTGCTTTGCTGGGAGGGACAGGGAAATGCCAATGCTCAGATGTCTGGGATTTGGAGAAGAATGTATCCTTTGGCATACTGCATGCGCATGTGCACACACACACACACCATTCCAAGCTTGGAGACTTTTATCCACGTCTGAGCTGCCAAGCTGCCAATCATGCCTGTGGTTAGGGAGAAGGACCTCTCCTTCTGTGGATAAAAGTCCCCAAACTCGGGATGGTGTGTGTGTTTGTTTGTGTGTGTATGTGTGTATGCATGCACGCATGCCCTTGGATGCAGGCAGTTTGGGGAGATGAGGATCTTGTGGGGCATCAAGTTGTCCCCATGTTGAGTTAGCCTGTATGACTTGTTCCATGCCAACCCAGCCAATACGAGTCAGTGGGGACGAGGCAGCTGCACCTACCCAACCACACTTACCCAACCACATCCACCTGGTCATACCAAGTCAGCCGCACTGAAGGAGTAATGTCGAGCTGGCTGCCCACGCAGCCAGGCCATCTAGCTGTGGTGATCCAGCTGTGACCACCCATTCACTACCACCCAGTCATGATCACCTGGCCACTGTGAGTCATCATAGACCCGGGTTGAAACCAGGGCTCATCAATTTTAGCGCTACTTGGTTGAGGTTAGAAATTCCTCTTTTTAAGGTTCCACAAATCTTTATGACAGCTCAACTTGGTGTGTGTTAGCTTCACTTTTAATCATCCTGTAACTGGCTTTGGCTATATCTACTACTTGCTATGAAGCATGACTTGAAAAAAAATAGTGCCTTGCCCTATGAATTGATCCTATTAGTAACAATGGTGTTCCCTTTGGACTCATACTGAATGTATGATTAAGGCTACAGTATAGTGTTCTTTCAAAGGATAATTTTACTTTTACCTCTCTTTCGGAAAAGTCCTTTCTTATGAGATAATGAAAATGCACCTTTCCTCTCTTGATTCTCGGCACCTGCCAAATAGATAGAGATATGAAGACTGCTTAGTTTGAGATCTCACACATAAGCAGCAGGGTTTAAAAAATATTGCTAGTTTATTACCCCCTTATGGACTTTTTGCTGAAACAAGAAAAACATGAACTTTGATGATAAAAAAGACTATGTAAAGAAGAAAATCAAGTTGTAATTTTATAGTGAGGACATAAAATATAAATATACTTGTAACTGCTGTTGATAAGCTTGGAAGCCACTTCTTTATAATCTTTCCTCTCCTTTTCCTTTTTTCCCCCTGTGCACTTTCTTTGCACTTTTTCAGTTATTACTTACTTCATTTTCCTTATTTTTTCCTTTTAAAATTTGCATTATTTTTATTTGTTTAAAAATTTATTTAATAAAAATTATATATGCAGAGATAATTTAGCAAGCCTTAGAGGACAGCTCTGATGAGATAATTGTCTATTCCCAATACATGGGCACAGATACACACTCACAAATGGAAAATACTTCTGCAGTTAAACGCTGTAAATTGAAAAGGCAAGGCAGAGTTGTAAGACGTATTTCTTAGTCTCGGGTCTGCCCACTGCTGGACTGGGTTCTCCATTGTAAATAAACAATGATGTCTATCCTATTCAAATAGGGGGAAATATAACTTTGGTATAAAACACATTAAGCAGAGAGGACTGAACCAAACCACTTGGAATCGTATCTTTTCAGCTTTGTGGTTCTGCAAATCCATTTCTGGATTCATTTGTTATTTACTTATGTCGACATCTTCCTATGTATTGTTCTTGTACTGATATTTGAGCTTTCTACAAAAGTGACTATACTTTTGTATAGTCCTCTGCTAACCTGTGAGAGTCTACTTTGGCAGTTTTCAAGGAAAGTATTTAGACTGAGAGTTGAGGTTGCTTTACCAGCACCATCAAATTAATACCTACCTTCCTGGTGGGATGCTTCCAATTTTTTTAGGGTTTCAGAAACAAGGATCACAGCAGCCTCGTTCAACACATCCTCTTTGATATTTTTAATTTTATATTCCTGTGAATAGAATTTTTGAAGCATGCCATCTACTGCATACCGATGATAAGGAATGAAATCACCTTCCCCACAACACTTGCATCGGTGAGCTAGCCACTTCAGGTAGCTGGCACATTTGAAATGCAAGGCTTTTTTCTGATTCTTAAGCCACAATTCATAAGCTGCTTCTTGCAACAATGGTGTGCAAAACTCCATGATTTTGCAATGCATCACAGCCTCTTCTAGTTTGAGCCTATTGGAAATAACCGATCCAAGATCTGAAAAATAAGGTAGTATTTGCACCATCAAAGAATGAAATCATCCCGTATAAATCTATTGTTGTATAGGAATAGCTAATGTTCTATTTCTGATTAGATTTAAGAATATGACTACAGCAGCTAATTTTCTCGTGATACTTATTCCCGTTATGTTAGTGAACACAATCTGAACATGGTGAGTGGGTACTAATATGATTTACATGTCAAGGATTTATATGAAGACAGACATATCATAAAATATTACTTGATTTTACTTGACTACTGGGTGTTCCCCTTGTTCCTATAAAAAGCAAAGTTAAGTACCAACTTGTTTAAGATTTCAACACCAATTTAACATGAAACTGATGCATAGAATGCAATAGTGTTGTTCAATCATTTCCATGTCCTTTGAGCAAACTGGTGTTTCAGAGATTTCTAGTTTTTCAATAACCAACTTACCTGATTCTTGCCTAAGTGATTTCAGTTCATTATTGCTGATGCTGAACTCTTTAGATAACATGCGCTGGGTTATATTCACTTCTTTTCTTTCACTACAACACTTAAAGATACGGGATTCCACCAGTGCTGCCAGAGTCTGGTACATCTTCCTTTTTGTCCATTCTGGGAGGATATAAAGCAGCATCTCTGTAGTGAACATCACACCAATGACAGCTGCACATTTCACCACCATCTGCTCTGAAGGATTCATATTGTCCAGTGCAGCCAGAGCAATTCCTAACGACAAAGAAAGTCAAATTGTGAAAAAAGTGGTACAGTGTCTGAACTCGTCACAGTTTCCAAATTTTATGTCTAAATCTGCAAAAGCCACATTTAGGAATAGTAAGATTACATCACATAGATTAAAAGACAATTGCAGAGATACACTATTTAGAACTGGAAGAAAGAGAATGTTAATAAAAATATAGGACGCTACCCTTTGTTACAAGGAAATTCCTAGAACAGGCTATCTAGGAGGGAGGGGTAATCTAATACTGCCTGCCTGCCTGCCCACCCATCCATCCATCCATCCATCCATCCAAGGCATAACTAGGTGATGAAAGAACTGCCCCTTTTTACATGTGTTGATTTCATATGACCATAAAAGGGTGAAGTCATAATGCCATTTTGACTTTTGTACTTTTTATAGTTTTTGCACCCCTTCCTCACAAAAGAATCCAAAACGGATTCTTCTTCTCTGTGATAACCCCTTAAGTACTAGAATATTGCTATCATAATCACCCCTAGCTCTTCTCTTTGTAGACTAGACATACCTTTTGTTGTTGTTAGTTGCGAAGTCATGTCCGACTTATCGTGATCCCATGGACAACATTCCTCCAGGCTTTCCAGGACTTTCGGTTTGGTGTCACGGCAAGACAGTCGTGGAATTAGCAGGCTCCGATGAGCTCCGCAAAAACCCGGCTGCCGAACTGCTGCCGATGGGTTTGTGGACCAGAACCGTCCTATAGGGACGGGGAAGAAAGAGAGGCACCTCGGACGACCAAGAGGAGCAGGCAAGTTCCTCGAATGTCAGAGGGAACTCTCTGTGACTCAGCAACGGGGGATGGCAGCCATGGCAGCTGCCACGAAGCTAGGACAACCGAACTAAGTATAGAGCTGGAGACAGAAGAGGAATGGAACAGAGTTTTTTGAAGCCGGGTGAGTGATAGCCAACCCAGGCGTGAAATAACAAGAGAAACATCTTTTAATTATAAGACCCCTAATGATAAATAGCGGCTAAGGAGCGTGGGGGCAAAGAAGATTTTGAAATATAGTTTTAAAGAGACGAATACCCGATAGAAAATAGATTTTTAAACAAACTATTTGGAAACCTTAAACAATTTGAGAATGGTCAAAGGATTGGAAAGAAATAAAGAGATCCCTTTTTTTCCCTTCTCTTTTTAAATTTCAAAAATAAATAAATAAAGAGAATGGATAATAAGCTTTAAAAAAGAAGTGATGTACAAATAAAAGGGGAAAAAAGAGGGGGAAAAAAGAAGTGGGAAGAGTTATTTAAATTTGGACTGGACTTTAAATATGATTTGGTACTTTTAAACCTAAAAGAAAAAGAGAAGCTAAATAAGACTGTTATGTAATTTAAACAAAATGGATACTTTTTAAACAACCAGAAATTGTGGATTGCAGAGAGACAGCATCTGGAGTAAAAAGGAATCTTGCAATTTGGTTTTTGTTTTGGAAAATTGTGGACATTACAGATAACATCTGTGAGAACTTGTGGGGGAGGATTTTCTTGTCTACAAGCGATTTGACTTTTGGAGAGAAAAAAATAAAAAATAAAAAGAAGGGAACATAAAGGAACTCTTATAATTGGAATAATATTAACTTAAAAGGAAAAATGGCGCAGGAATTAGAGAAGGAACAAATTGATCTAGACTTGGACAATGGAAATAAGAGAAATAATTATAATGTTGCACAGAGGACAAAAATTTGAGGATATAGAAGTTGAAATGGAGTATATACAAATGGACATGAAAATGATGATGGAAGAATAAGACATAGAGATGGAGAATAAAGAAGATAAAGACAATGTGATTAAATATGAATAAGTAACTGAACATGTGAATAGTAATAATAAAAAGGAGGTTTCTAGAGATTATATTGAGATTAACAATAACACAATGATGATTACACTGGGATTAACAGTGAATGATAAAAGAATAAAAGGTTGGAAAATATTAAGGAAAATAAAAAAGTCCAGGACTTGGATTTATAAAACTATATTGAAATTAATAAATGTGAGAAGAAATATGTTACAGATACTTAGAAATGAAATATGGATTGAAGTTAAAATATATGAGAAATAGACTATGTTAAAAGAAAATATATTAATGGATATGATGAAGCAAATTTTATTAAGATGTTGGATGAGGGCCAGTCGTTCCGAATCCGATCGAACACTAATTAGGTCTCACATTAAGACCTATTTAGTGGCGATAAAACCGGCAAAGTGTGATTACTTTTCCGCTCTTATTGCATTGGCAGATAATCGCCCAGCCGCCTTGTTTAGAGTGACCCACTCCCTCCTACATCAGGGAGCGCGGGAGGACCCCTTGCAAGGGCAGGCTGAGGATTTTGCACAGTATCTGCACGATAAAATCGCTCAGATTCGGGAAGGCCTGAATTCTGACTGGATAGATTCCGGCGGGGTGGCTGAGGCGGGTCTTGAGAATGTTATCTGGGACGAGTTCGATCCTGTGACTCCTGAGGACGTGGACAGGATTCTGGGGAGGTTAAACGCAACCACATGTTTACTGGAACCGTGTCCCTCCTGGCTGGTACTGGCTACCCGGATTATAAATGCTTCTCTGGGGGAGGGTTTCCTGCCGCCTGCCTTGAAAGAGGCGGTGGTGAGGCCCCTCCTTAAGAAGCCTTCTCTGGACCCAGCTGTTATGGCTAACTACCGTCCTGTCTCCAACTTTCGCTTTATTGTGAAGGTTGTTGAGAGTGTGGTTGCGCAACAGCTCCCGCAGTACCTGGATGAAACCATCTATCTAGACCCGTGCCAGTCCAGCTTCAGGCCTGAGTACAGCATGGAAATGGCATTGGTCGCGTTGGTTGATGATCTCTGGAGGGCTCGGGACAGGGGTTGCTCCTCTGTTCTGGTCCTATTAGATCTCTCAGCGGCTTTTGATACCATCGACCATGGTATCATGCTGCACCGGCTGGAGGGATTGGGGGTGGGAGGCACTGTATTGCGGTGGTTCTCCTATCTCTCCGACCGGTTGCAGTCTGTGTTGGCAGGGGGCAGAGGTCGACCTCGAGGCGCCTTGTTTGTGGGATGCCACAAGGGTCGGTCCTCTCGCCACTCTTGTTCAACATTTATGTGAAGCCGCTGGGTGAGATCATCCGTGGATTTGGGGTGCGGTGCCATCTGTACGCTGATGACACTCAGCTGTACATCTCCACCCCAAACCACCCCAACGATGCCCTTGAAGTGATGTCCCAGTGTCTGGAGGCCGTGCGGGTCTGGATGGGGAGGAACAGGCTTCAACTCAACCCTTCCAAGACCAAGTGGCTGTGGGTGCCGGCATCCCGATATAGCCAGCTGGTGCCATCGCTGGCTATTGGGGGCAAGTCATTGACCCCCACAGAGGGGGTTCGCAACTTGGGCGTCCTCCTGGACACACGGCTGTCTTTAGAAGAGCACATGATGGCTGTGGCCAGGGGGGCTTTTTATCAGGTTTGCCTGATACACCAGTTGCGCCCCTTTCTGAGTCGGGATTCCTTATGCACAATCACTCATGCTCTCGTCACTTCTCGCCTGGACTACTGCAACGCTCTCTACATGGGGCTCCCCTTGAGGAGGACCCGGAGGCTCCAACTGGTCTAGAATGCAGCCGCGCGGGTGATTACAGGAGCGACATGGCGCTCCCATATAACACTTCTCCTGCGCGAGCTGCACTGGATCCCGGTGGTCTTCCGGGTGCGCTTCAAGGTATTGGTTCTCACCTTTAAAGCACTCCATGGTTTAGGGCCAGGGTATTTATGAGACTGCCTTCTGCTACCGATAACCTCCCACCGGCCAATACTCTCTCACAGAGAGGGCCTCCTCAGGGTGCCGTCAGTCAAGCAATGTCGGCTGGCAGCCCCCAGGGGGAGAGCCTTCTCTGTGGGAGCACCCGCCCTCTGGAACGAGCTACCTCCCAGAATACTGCTGATCCCGGATCTCCGCACTTTCCATAAGGCCCTGAAGACGTTTTTATTTCAGCAAGCCGGCCTGGCCTGAATAGGTTTTATGGGTTAGTTTTTAATTGTATAGCTTGGGGTTTTAAATTGGGAGGCTGATTAATTTAATTTATTTTTAGTTATCTTAACTTTTATACTGTATGTTATTTTAATTTTTGGCTGTTCACTGCCCTGAGTCCCTTCGGGGAGAAGGGCGGGATATAAATTCAATAAATTAAATAAATAAATAAATAAATAAATAATAATAATAATATTTGAGGAAATTGATAGCTATAATAATTGGGATACTGTTTAAATATTTATAGAGATTACACTGGGATTAACAGTGAAAAAAATAAAGATGATTACACTGGGATTAACAGTAGCATAAAGATGATTACACTGGGATTAACAGTGGAATGATAAAAGAAAAGGTTGAATTAGATTATGTAAAAAGAAAATATATCAATGGATATAATGTATCAATTTTTATTAAGATGTTGGATGGTATTATTTGAGAAAATTGATAGCTATAATAATTGGGATATTGTTTAAATACATATAACAATTGTAATAATTTGAACATTTTTCATTTAAGCAAAAAAAGAAAATTGAAATAATATATGATTATGATTTACAAACAAAAATTACTTAATTGATGTTTATATAAATGGTATGGTTAAATAGATAGAATTTAGGGAAATAATTGGGAAACTATTAAATAGCATTATTTGAATTAAGAACTATGTTTAAATGTTAAATTGCTATATTTTTAAGATTAGTGATAAGATTTAAATTTGATAAAGTAATAATGGAATAAAGATTTAATGAGCATTACATGAAGTAATAAATAAATGTAAGGAAGTTTTAGAAATGGAAATAATTTTGGAATATAAACATGTTTGAACTGTATTGTTAATAGTGAGGATTTAGGGTAAGAATTGTGAAATGTATTATGAGGTATTAATTGAATTAAGATTTAAGGTGGGTTAATAGAAGGGTAATTATATTGATTAAGTAAACATGAGTAAACTTTTTCTAAGATGGTATTAGTTGAAATATGTGATTTAAGATTAAGAAATAAGTGTTATGGCAAAATAGAATATATAAAATTTTGTTAAAGATGACAAAAAATTGAACAAATTGATGACTGGATCAAAGCTCTGTTCTGAAAAGATGTAATTTGTATGTTGGAAAAAAATAATAAAAAAAACTTTTTGAAAAAAAAACATTCCTTCAGGCTTTCCTGTCCTCTACCATCTTCTGGAGTCCATTTAAACTCACACCTACTGCTTCAGTGACTCCATCCAGCAACCTCATTCTCTGTCGTCCCCTTCTTCTTTTGCCCTCTATCTTTCCCAGCATTAGGCTCTTTTCCACATATCTAGTCCCCTCAATTGTCCATCAGATGGTTTAGTTTTCAGACCCTTATCATTTTTGTTCCTCTTTTCTCTAGGGTTTCAACATCTTTTTGTATCATGGTGACTAGAATTGGATGCGAAATTCTAAGTGTGGTGACACCAGTAGAGTTATAAAGTGATCTTGAAACTATCCCTCTGTTGATGCAACCTAGGGCTGCCTCTTTTGGCAATTGCGGGACTCTGCTGGCTCATACTTAAGTGATGTAGAACACTTAGATCCCTCTCACAGTTATTGCTGTTGAGCCAGATACCACCTATTTCATAATTGCATTTGTTTTTTCTTGCCTAAGTACAGGGCCTTACTTTTCTCACCACCAAATTGCATTTTGTTTGTTAGGACCCTTCCTCTTTAACATCTATAAGAAACCCTGATGAAGAAATCTGCAGCTTGGGATGCAGTATCATCATTATGCTGATGGTGCCCAATTATATCTTTCTATATTTCTTTAAGGGAGATGGGCAGTTCAGAAATGCAATAAATAATAATAAATTTCATCCTTAAACCAGCCAAGTAAGCATGTTGAGATCCTGTTCCAGTGCCAGGAAGCTATGTAAATCTGGATGAGGACAACAAGTGGCTGTGGCTATTAAGATCCCTTTGGCCCAGGGATTTTCCATATATAGTCATGGGCTGGATAGCACTTCTCCTTCTTGAGGTAACAGCTGTAGCCAAGGGGGCCTGTGTACAGCTCCCTCTGATGTGTCAGTTGTGCTCTTCCTGGAGTGGGAAGCCCTTCAGACATGATGTGACATGACTTGATTACTACAATGCTTTGGGGTGAGATTAAAGGTGCTGTTTATCAACTAACACTAACCCTATATGCCACAGGGACAGATTTTGAGGGATTATCTATTTCCCATGGTTTATGCCTGGTTGGTATATGCTGACAGAATTGGCGCACTCCATGTTCCTTCATACAGTGCCATCTATAAATACTAAGACAGCATGACTTTTCTGTCATGGCATCTGTCATCTGGAATGAGATCTGCCCTGAAATCTTCAATTGGCTGTAAGGACTTGAACACCTGAGTGTTCTCCCAGGCCTTGAGTAAAGATGGATGAAACCTTTTGTTGGATTGAATTTTGTCTCTGTTTTTGCATAGGATCATCAGATTTCATCTTTTTTGATCTGTATTTTGATTTTTTGTATTTATTATATTGTGAGTTACTTAGAGTCAGTTTGGAATTAGGCAGTGCCTACAATAAAATAAATAAAACACAATTTCAAATGTTGGAAACTCACCATGGCCTTTGGTAAAATAGTGCTATCTGAAGTTTTGTGTTCAGAATATTTTAGATTTTGCACCACCTTATATATGCTCTTAGAGCAGCTGTTTTGTCACTCTGCCTGGTGATAACAGAGTGATAACATTCCGTACCTTTTAATGTTGGAGGGAGACTGATGGTGGTAAGCTTCACATTTTGCCCGACTGTGCAAATATATAATTCAGTCTCTTCGTCTAACATTTTGGATGCATGAGTCTTGAGAACAGTAGTGGCTTATAGAGGAGAATCATAAATGTTTTAGTATTAGTATTAATATTATTTTCTTCCAAGAAAACATTTAGATGGTTATTATTTAAAAAAGTTGCAACAGTTAAGATCACTATTTTAATATTATCATTTAACATTATAATTTAAATAGCTGCCAGTAATAGCAGGAGGTAGATTCCTATTTGCTACTGAGAAATATATGCAAGATTAAAGCCAGCATGGTCTTTACTATGCTAGCTTTAATCTACTAATCATTACTATATGTCCCTGACCAAAACTCAAATCAAACCAAAGTTGTAAAATGTTTGCCAATTTTGAATGTGTTTTCCTAATATTTAAGCATCACATGGTATTACTGCAAAGTTTAACATGCCCCAGTTTATATCAATAAAACAAACTGAATGTTTATCATACACTATACAAGCAGGGGATGTACCAAAGGTGCTTTTCAAAAGGCAACTGGACTTTCTTATTTTTTCCTTGAAGTTGTTTCGATTCTTATCCAAAAAGCTTCTTCAGAAGAACTGGATCTATTCCATATTTTATTATCTTACCAAGAAGATAATAAAAGGTTGTGGTCTACTTTGTCAAATGCCTTACTGAAATCCAAGTGTACTATGTCCACAGAATTTCACTGATACACTAATTTAGTCAAGAATACAATAAGGGTTTGACAAACTCATGTTTGCTTCTAGTAATATCTTTGCTTGTTTCTAGGCATTTGCAGCTCCTTGCTTGATTATCTTTTCCAGGATTTTCCCAGGTATTGATGTCAGGCTGATTGGTCTGTAGTTTCCAATACGAAAGAAATTATTATGTCTACACAGCCTCAGTGATTTCAACAAAGCTAATCCATGTCACTTTGCAAAAAGCTTACTTAGTATCATATTGGTATGTGAATCTTGGATAGGATTAACCAACCAAGAGCCCATAGTATGCATTTCCCATAACATGTAAGACCACACTACAGAAAGTTGAATGTGGATTCCTGATTTATAGAAGCACAATATGGTGGAATGGTTAAATAGGTTTATTAAGCTTACAGCATCTATATGTCTTATATACTTTCCATTCTGGAAAACTAAAAAATTAGACTAAACATTTTTAGTACACCTTTTCCAACGATGTGACTGCATGTATGTTGCAATTGGTGGGGAAAGAAGGAAAGAAGGATATGAACTATGAACCTCACTGATAAAAGTTCTAATTAGGATATCAGGAACAAGACACAATGAGATGCCTTCTGGTATCTTGGTGACTATTAACATTCATCTGTGTAACAGAAGAGTGATAATTATGATTTATTGCATGACTAGCTGCTCTCTTGCTGAATATTTCAGAACTGTGATACTGTTGCCATCAGATATTCTGATGCATCCTTAATAGTACCACATCATTCATAAACTGAGAATTGCTATGAAGCTATACTATATTGATAGTCAATGATCAGTAGCTTACTAAAAAGGCTATCCCATTCATCCTCTTTCTCTTCATCTTCGTCCAGCACATGGAATTGAAGCACATTGTTTAAGTGGAGGTTTCGGAGAAGTTCTTCACAGTAAAATGGGTTTCCATGACTCCTTTGTATTAAAAATCTGCAAGTAACATGGAAAGGGAGGGACGGAGAAAAAGAAAGAGAGGGGGGCAGGTAGGCAGGCAAACAGAAGGAGAAGAATGATCATAGGTGAATGTCAGGTTTAAGGCATAGTGTAATGCCTAGTGCTGCATTGCAATAGTGCTTCCAACTTCCATTTCAGCAGCAGGCAAGTTGTAAACATAATAAATTCCAGGCTTCCCTGGTCTTCTGAAACTTTAATAGTTGTATATGAGGCTATCTAGAATCGGTTGTAATATTGCAACTACATGTTCACAGCTACAGACCCCAGAGATGAAAACAGGCACTGTAGAGTTTGCTCTCATTAATTGACATAGTGTAGAACTTCTTAAACAAGCTGCAATGGCATGATTTGCAAATCTCTCTAATTTCCAAGATGAAAGAAACCGTGTTAGTCTTTGCATTATATGTGACCCAAAAATAGTTGTGCTTTACTAGCAATGGCCTGAGTTACTCTTTCTGAAGTATTTTATAGATGGTCTTATTAAATATTTAAATTATAAAATGTTATAAACAAAGTTAGATAGACTGCTTACGGATACCGATTCCTAAAGAAAAGAATCTCATTGTTATCAGAATTGTTACTATGCCTGTGGCTGCTGGTGCCTAATCTGCCAAGTATCCTAACAGTAGAACAATTCCTCAACTGATACAAATACTTAATTGAGGAAACTCACATTTCAACTTCTGTACACACACTTACCAAAATTCTCCCTTTCCTAAGAATAAAAGCTACTAAATAGATCATGGCATGAAGATAACAGCAAAGCTGATAATTATGAATGGTGGTAGAAAATGGTAATCTCTCTCTCTCAGGATAAACTTTCCACAAGTGAGTGTATAACTGATAACTGCTGTCAGAAAGATTATAGGCTTTGGCCCAAGGAGAGAAGAATAGAGAAATTTGCCAGTTGAGCAAGAAAGTCTCTTCAACTTAGAAGAAGTCAGGTAGTTCCTTTGAAATAAAAGTTTCAGACTTGTTGATTTAAATGAGAACACTTCGTATCTCCTCTGATTGTCTTTGCCTTCAATTTAATAGGAACAGCTAAAAGATTGCCTGGGCGGCCATCTTCTACTTACGTTTCAAGCTCCCTGGCGATACTGACCACTCCAAGATCTTGACAGGCTTTCTGAATAATTACTGAAGGACTTAATTCCCTTAGCTGAATAAAAGTTGTGCTTGGACTATTCAGGATTTGGGCTGCACTGGAACAAAGTATTCGTCCCTTGTGATTGATAGGAGACAAAGCCATAACAACAAAGATCGGAACACTCTTAAGTAAGTTATCCAGGAAATCCCAAGAGGCTTTATCAATAAACTGAGCTTCATCAATTGCAAAAATGAGGACTTCCTTTTCTGCTGCCTAAAAAAAACAATAACACATACTGTGCACAGTAAGATGGTGCTATAACCAGAATTGTTCTCATCACAGCTTTTAAAAATTTTACTTACTGCTATTAAATGCTTCTACTAATGCTAAACTACACTCTAAGAATTTGCCATTCTTTGTTAGAAGTCTATTGCCAAGATTGTTTCCATGCCTTAACTAAAACTGGTGATATTGCCAGAGGTTAATAGAAAGAACTGGACCCCTACTACAGATCTCAGTTGACCATTAGTATTTTTCTGGATCTCATCTACAAAATGGATCTACTTGCATTCAGTGAAGTACATAAAATAAGAACAGATTGTTGTGAAAAGGATAAACTCACTATGTTTATTAGGATTTAGTACTAATTAACATTCATTCAGCAAATGTTCGAAGTTACGATGGCACTGAAAAAATAGACTTATGTTTAGTCCTCAAATTTACAACTATTGTCATGCCCCCAAGGTCACATAATTAAAATTTGGGCCTGCATTTACAGCTACCCACACACACACTGCTGCCCCCAGCTGACCTCTCTTCCTGCCCTTCTTCTTGACATGATCATTCTTGTGGCAATAGGAATGTTAGGGTCATTGTACTGCAATGGCATGCCATACTGCAGCACTTCTCACTACATTGAGGCTGGGGCCTCATGCTGCAATGCTGGGGCACCATAGCACATGGCAATAGCAGCTGTGGCTTCATGTCACAGTGCACTAATGCGGCTTTACACCATGGTAAGGTGACAGGGCGGCTTGCCTGGCATGGGACTTGAGGTGTCACTCTTCAGTGATAATAGGCACTGAAGAAGACACTTGTGAGTGGTGATAGGCTGAGAGAGCTAAAGGTCTGGAGCTTCTACGTCAGCTTCTATGTCATAACCACCACTGCCAAAGAGGCCCACTGTGCAGAATGGCCAAAGGGGCAGAGATAGGGGAGTTGAAGAAGAGGCAGTCCCTTCACTTGGGGAAAAAAAAGGCTCAAGAGTGTGAGTGACCAAGGTAGGAATGGCTTGGATCAGGAAAGATCTTTGCCTAAAATCTACAGTACATGGACTTCACTTCACAATGGCAATAAAGACTGCTAGAACTGTCATTGCTAAGGAGGCAGACTCATGGTGTCTTGCTTAAGGATGCATCACTTAGCAATGGAGTAGCTGGTCTCAATTGTGACAATTAAGCAAGGATTGTACTGAGAGGCTAATTATGCCTTTATCTTTTATAGACCATGTTATGCACAGGGAAAATATTTACTTACATTAATTAGAATTTTTAAAAGCATCGTTTCAATCTCTTTATTCTTTCTGTCATTGTCCATTTGAGAAACCACTTCTGATGTAGGAAACTAACCAGAAAAAGAAACAAATCTCATAATTATTTGATTAATAATATTTATGCCAGTAGTACTTTCTTATAATTAGGTAACCTTGAAATCATTTAAACAGATTGTAAATTGTTTCATACTTAAACATTCTGAGCATATCTAAATCTGTGCAGCTTTATCAAGTGATCTGTACAACCATATTACCATTCTCTAGTACTGTATCTATACCTGCCTTTCAATGCAAAGCATTCATAAGAGAAATGATCTTCCATTCTTCCATTTTTACCTTAACATGAAAAAGATTGTTGAAAAGGCATAGATATTGTTCTTCTATAACTCCACGCAACTTGCTCAGAAGGATATACTGCCTTGCATCATAGGTTTTACAGACATCCACCCCCAGGAACATTGCCATCAGTGTCCGGACAGCAAAGAAGTTTTGCCATGCATTTATCTTTGTCAGCTCCATTGCCACAACCCTGCTCAATTACATGGACAAATGCAAATCTTGACTTGAAAGTAATCAGGAGCAGATTATTATTTCAATTTGTGCGGCTAAAATATAGAAATCATAACAGTATTGAATTTTGGTTCATTGATTGCAATGGAGTGATTATATTGAAGAAGTTTTTCCTACATCATTAAATAATAAAGAGTCTTCAGACATCTAGTAATATCAGGAAGAGCTTCCAGCTCATGCCTCTCATCTGAATATCAAGGACTTGCCTCTCCTTGATTGATAGAACATTTGTGGGGTCAATGAAACATTTCCTTAGCTCTCTGCAATAATTTTGATTCATGCAAGATATTAATAAAGAACCCAGATTAGTATAACAATTCCTTCCAATTAGGTATCTGCCTATGTATCCCATTTAAAGTTTACTTTAAGGCCTTATTATATTGGCACAATGGCTCTGCAGTTAAGACACTGGATTTGTCAGATAGAAAGCTAAAAGCCCGGGTTTGAGACCCAAGTGCCGTGAGCCAGGGGTGAGAGCTTGTGAATCTTATAGACAGGTCAGGAAGCCACAGTACAGACAGAAACGTGGCTAGACAGACTGGTTCCTGATCACCAAAGGAGATGAGATGAGATTAGATATTCTTATTTATTCAGCATATATCATGTGACTGCTTAGTGACAACAATCCTGGCAGTTCCAGTTGCAGTCATTAATCAAATCCCAGGCAGTTATTAGGGAGGGACAGATCCCAATCCAAGTCATTCCTGCTTTGATCTCTCACAACCTTGAACCTTGATAAGGTAAAAGACTACCTCCCCTTCAACTGCCCCCCCCCCCATTTCTGCCCACTTGGCTACCCTGCACTCTACTACCACTGCCAGCCCTTCTGCCCTTCGCTTCGCAGCAGCAGCACGAAGAAGATAGCAAAGGTCAGTGTGGGTGGCAGGGCCAGTGGAGCACAGGACCAGTGGAGTACAGAGTGGCAGGGCCAGTGGAATACAGGGCAGCAAGGCCACAGAGATAATGCAAGTCTGAAAGTGCAAGTCTGCACTTTCAGTGCGGGGTGTGGGGGGGAAGTTGAAGCATCCCTGTGATTGTAATTGTGAGTGGACTGCCAAATGCCCAAATTTTGATCATGTCATCATGGGGGCACTGCAATGGCCATAATTTTGAGGACCAGACATAATTACTATTTGTTCAACACCACCATAACTTTGAATGACCACCAAACAAATGGTCATTAAACAAGGACTGACTATGTGTGTATCTGTGTGTGTATATACATATATTGTACACACACCCACACACATATTATATATATATATATAAAAAGAAGTGATAGACATCATGATCTCCGGAACGTTTAAAAGTTTAAAACTTTTATTTTAAAACTTGTGCTAAGCTTTCGTCGGCCCCTACCGACTTTGTCAGAGTATAAAATCACCCAGATTTGGATGCATATGGAGGAGCTTGGTCATGAGTTCAACTTCCAAGAGACCGAAGTCATTGCCTACGATGAAACAAAAGGAGGGCGCCTCTTGAAAGAAGCCTGGTTCTCTAACAGCAACTCCCTCAATAGACATATTGACATACCACCGGCATACCAGGCTTTACGGCACCAGGAAAGACTTAAGGAGGACCGATCACTAAGACTGAATGGAGATCGGGGACAAATCTCCTCCTCTAGGCATAGAGATTGGCCCAATGAAGGTGTGACAAACCCTGGCAGAGGGCAAGAGAGTAGGTTAGGGAAACAGCAGAATGAGGGAGATGGGGGGGGTAAGGAAGAACAATGCAGACCCATCACAAGATCATGGGTAAAACAAATGGGTTTAGAGGAGGCAACGTGTGCGCCTAAAAGGGAAAGGCATAACAATGAGGGAGAGGGAGCCGGGAGTAATACCTTCAAAGCAATGCCTGATAACCCTGCGTTACCCCCCAGGGAGAGAAAGAGGCAACACACAAAGGGGCAGGAGGCAGGGGAAAGTGCATCGTCATCTGTCAGCATGACTAAGGCAGAAAATAAGATAATTACAGAGGGAAGGCAAGGGTGTGGGCCTGTTACACGCGCAATGACCAAATTGATCAGCATTGCATAAAAGCAAGCAGCTCTTCAATGGTGATTTTATACTCTGACAAAGTCGGTAGGGGCTGACGAAAGCTTAGCACAAGTTTTAAAATAAAATTTTTAAACTTTTAAATGTTCCGGAGATCGTGAGGTCTATCGCTTCTTCTATAACTATACCTGGAACTCGCATCTTTAGGACAATTCTTAATATATACATACATACATATATACATATACATATACATATACATATACATATACATATACATATACATATATATATATATACATACACACACACACACACACACACACACACACACACACACACACATATACGTCTTCTTAAGTTTTTGCGGGTGTGTGTATGTAAAAAGTTAAAATCTTGGGTGTTTTCCCACGTCATTATAAGTTTGTTAGTTAAAATGTTTAAAACACACACACACACACACACACACATATTACATATTCGTTTGGAAGAAGATGATGTGGATTTAAAACTGGAGGAAGAAATACCAATAACCTACATTATGCTGATGACAGCAAAATGAAAAATAAATTATTTCCAATGGTGAGAAAAAGTGGGACTAAAATTAAATATAAAGAAAGCAAAACTAATAACAGGTACAGTAACCCCTCTTTGAATTGCTAATGAAGATACAGAACTGAAAGATAACTTTACGCCTTTTGAAGACTATCAATTCTAAAGGAACCAGAAATCAAATATGCTACAGATACTAACACTTGGTAGGGTAGCAATGAAAGATTTAGAAAACATACTCAAATACCATGTTGTGTCAATTAGTGTTTTTGTTGTTGTTGTTGCTGCTGTTGTTGTTGTTATACTCTATGGAAACAAAAGTTGGACTGAAGAAGCAGGATTTAAAAAATATTTTTGCTTTTCTATCTGATAAGCCCTTTACTAAAGCTGTGAAGAAAAGACCCATGAATAAACAATTTATCACAGAAATACCATCAACCTCTAGTGATCTCCTTTAAGGCCCTTTGAGTCCTAGAATCATTAACACTTGTCATTGCTCAAGACTGCAGACCCAAAACAATAGACTTGTAATGCTCAGAACAGAGCCAGGACCAGAGAAAAATGAAAAGATTGGAGAGAAGAAGGTGAATTTTTGAAAATATGTAATCAAGCGATGTAAAAAGCACCAACTTTTGCCCAGGAGCCTGTCCTATATAGGCAATTTCAGTTACTAGTTGGCTTTTTCCATATCCCATGAGACCTTCATATATTATAACATGGCTTAATTTAGTTTCTTTAAATTTTTCCAGTAAGTTTTCAAAGATGTCAGTCTCCTTCTTGCGACCTGGAAGAAAATAATAAAGGAAAACAAAGAATTATGTTGTATACTAAAACAGGCATTCACAAAATAAGTTAGCTTTTGAATGACAAATTATATCAAATAATTACTACTGCATTGTTGGAATATTCATCATGGTTACTAAGCAGAAGAAATGTGCATCTCTCTGTGTTTATCTCTCTATGTACACATCAGAGGTGGTATTCAGTCGGTTCAGATTGGTTCAGGTGAACCGGTAGGGGAAATTTGGCCTGGGTTGCCGAACCAGTAGTGACCTCTGGCTGGCCCCGCTCACCGCCCAGTTGTCCAGTTGCCGCTCACTCGCTATACCCTCCCACTCACCGCTGGCTCTCCCAGCCTGCCCATTCGACGCTCGACGCTCACCCTGCCCATCCCAGTCCTATATACGTTGCTTTCGGTTCGCCATGCAGCCCAGCTACTCACCTCACCAGTCGCCTCGCCTCACCTGCTCTGCTCAGCTCACCACCAAAGGTAAGCAATGCATGCTGCCCACTTGCCCTTCGCCTTGGATCAGGGGCTGGGGCCCAGGGACGTGCCATTCCCTGAGGCCCCAGAGCTGCCGCCCACCTCGGCTGGGTCAGGGAATGCGCCATTCCCTGGCTCTGGCCTTTTTCCACAGCCACCGCCCGCTCGCTGCCTGCCTCAGCCAGATTGGGGAATGCGCCATTTCCAGGCTCTGGCCTTGCCCCAGAGCCTCTGCCCACTCGCTGCCCACTCTCCCTTAAGCACAATGCGTCACCCCATTTCCCCTCCTTCAGAAGCCCCAGCCCTTAATCTCCCCACTTCCTCCCCCGACTTTCATTTTCCCGCAGCCATGACCTTACCTTCCTCCCATGGCTGGCTGCCAGGGAAGGCAAGCCAGGGCTGAGCTGTCACCGCCAGCCCGTATCTCACCCTCCTTCCAGCCGCAACAAAAAAAGACCTGGCGGATGCAGGCTTCTTGCAGTGAAAATTACTGACCTCTGGCTCTGCTCCGCTTCTTGAATGCTCTGCCATCACCTTCTTCTATCACTGGCTGTGCAGATGCACCCTATTGCCAGCTGCGCTGCTCAGCTCGGACTTGCCCGGGCAAGTCCGTCTGGCACAGTGACCGCAGGCAATAGGGTGCACCTGCGTGGCCAGCACATAGAAGAGGGCGGCGGCAGCACATTCTAGAAGCGAAGTAGAACCGGAGGTCGGTAATTTTCACTGCAAGAAGCCTGCAGCAGCTGCGTCTTTTTTTTGTTGTGGCTGGACTCCAGCTGCACCGAAAAAAAGACAGGGCAGCTGCAGGCATCTCATGACAAGGGGAGCGAGATGCGGGCTGTTGGGGAGGCCAACGGCGATGGCTCAGCCTGGCTTGCCTTCCCTGGGAGCCAGCCATGGAAGGAAGGTAAGGTCGTGGCCACGGGATGATGAAAGTGGTAGTTATGGGGGAGGAAGCAGGACTAGGGACAGAGAAGGAGGGGAAACGGGAAGACGAGTGTGACTGGCGAAGGGAGAGCGGATGGCATGCCAGATTAGGCCAGGCCTTTGACAGATTAGGCCAGGTCTGGGAAGAAAATAGGTAGAAAGAATAGCTGTAAGTTCAATTTTTTTTCCCTACCGGGTTCTGTGGGCGTGGCTTGGCCAGGGAGGTGTCATGTGACTGAGTGGCCATGGCTGTGAGTGACGTCAAGTTGGACATGCCCATTCAGTCACATGACCCCCATCACCAAGCCACACCCACAGAACCAGTAGAAAAAAAATTGAATCCCATCATTGGTACACATCAGTAGTGGGTTCCTCTTACCTTTGCTACTGGTTCGGAACCGGGAGCGCACTCGCATGCAGCACTTCTGCGTATGCACAGAACATCCGTATGCACAGAGCATCCGATGTCTGGGCGGGTGGACGGAGCCTCCTGCCACCACCACTACCGGTTCACCCAAACCAGGGCGAACTGGTAGAAACCCACCACTGGTAGACATGCATGCAAAACAATCACAAGCCTATATTTAGATAATATTGTGACCTCTTCTGAGGTTCTTTGGAGAAACCTTTCAGCAATTTCCTTCCAGACATGTTCTTCTTTCATAGATATTCCACAACAAACCCTGCCTATTCAAAGGGAAAAATCAGCAATGGTTGAAGGTTGGGCAGCAAACAAAAGAGGGTCCCCTGTCTTGGAGGTCTTCTAGTTCAACCCTCTGCCCAATGCAAGAGACCTTAATCCATCCCAGACAAATGATTGTCCAATCTTCGCTTGAAAACCTCCAGCAATGGTGATTCCACAACTCCAGGAGGCAAGCTGTTCCATTGATTAATTGTTCTCCTTGTCAGGAAATTTCTTACTTCTTGGTTGAATCTCTCTTTAATGAGCTTCCACTTATTACTTCACCTCTTGCCTTCAAGTGCTTTAAAGAATAAGTGTATACTCTCTTCTGTGTGACAGCCTTTCAAGTACTGGAAGACAGCTATCATGTCACTCAAATTCTTCTCTTTATAAGGCTGGACATACCTACTTCCCTTAACAGTTCATCATACAATTTAGCCTCCAGACCTCTAATCATCTTAACTGCTCTTCTCTGCACTATTTCTAGGGCCTCAACATCTTTTTTGTGTTGTGGTGACCAGAACTGGATGTAGTATTTTAAGTGAGGCCTCATAATGCAGTATAAAGTGGTAGTATCACTTCTTGTGATCTTGATGCTCTAGTGGGGGCAATGGCCCCAGTGCTTATTGACACACAAATGCCAAACCAAAAAAAAACTTCAAAAGCATCTAGGGAATTTGCACATTGACAATATTTCCATCTTTCAATTAAAATAGGCCATGCTGCTTGGATGTTTGATTGATTGATCTCATCTTCTGCAACAGTTTAAACTCAATTTATGTACTACAAATAAAAGAACCATTCTCCAACAGCGACCACAGCATGATTGACTCTTGTCTCAACTTAGGCCCTCACAAAAATCATCATAATGATGGGATTCCCAGTTATAACTTTAAAAAAGACAACTACAATCTCATAAACAATGAACTCTCATCTCTTGATTGGCAAATTGTATTCACTGGCTATAATACTGCTGACAACCATTACATTTTCTTGCGCGAAGTCAAAAGAATCATTAAACTTAACGTACCACTAATATACCCCAAAACCAGAAAAAATAAACTACCAATAACAATAAGGAAATTACAATCCAGAAAAAAATCTCTTTGGAGAAAAAAAAAAACTAACTACTTAGCTAACTTCAAAAACCGCTACAAAAACTTATGCCAACAAATAAAGACTGACTGCACCAATTATCACATCAAGCAAGAGGAAAACCTTCTATGCACAAAATCCACCCATGCCTTCTATAATTTTGTAAACAACAAACTTAAAGACTTGACATCCATTCCACCCCTAAAAGGACCAAACGACGAAGACTGTATTGATGAAACCGTTAAAAGCCAATCTCTTTAACACATTCTTTGGCTCAGTCTTTGTAAACAGCAACAACACATACCCAATATTTCTCAGTCGTAATACAGACAATTACAATGATTACGGTGATCTTATACATATTAATGTATAATGCTAATTATACATTATACATATACATATGTTTATACATATAATGTATAATATTAATGTAAATTCCAGATGGAGGAGGGAGTAATGCTCCCTCCTCCATCTGGAAGCGTGGGATGATCCCTTGCAGGGTCGAGCTGAGGACTTTGTGCAGTATCTGTATGACAAGATCGCTCAGATTCGGGAAGGCCTGGCCTCTGACTGGGTAAGTCCGGATGGGATGACTGAGGCAGGTCTTGAGAGTGTTATCTGGGAGGAGTTTGATCCTGTTGCTCCCGAGGACGTGGACAGGATCCTGGGACAGCTGAACGCGACCACATGTTTATTGGACCCGTGTCCCTCCTGGTTGGTACTGGCTTCCCAGGAGGTTACACGAGGCTGGCTCCAGGAGATTGTCTGAGAAGCGGTGGTGAGGCCCCTCCTCAAGAAGCCCTCCCTGGATCCGGCTATTTTGGCTAACTATCGTCCAGTCTCCAACCTTCGCTTCGTTGCGAAGGTTGTTAAGAGTGTGGTAGCGCGGCAGCTTCCCCAGTACCTGGATGAAGCTGTCTATCTGGACCCGCTCCAGTCCGGTTTCCGGCCTGGGTACAGCACGGAAACAGCATTGGTCGCGTTGGTGGATGATCTCTGGAGGGCTCGGGATAGGGGTTGTTCCTCTATCCTGGTCCTGTTAGACCTCTCAGCGGCTTTTGATACCATCGACCATGGTATCATGTTGCACCGGTTGAAGGGGCTGGGGGTGGGGGGCACCGTCCTGCGGTGGTTCTCCTCCTACCTCTCTGACCGGTCGCAATCCGTGTTGACAGGGGGGCAGCGGTCGACCCCGAGGCGCCTTGTTTGTGGGGTGCCACAAGGGTCGGTCCTCTCGCCCCTTCTGTTCAACATTTATGTAAAGCCGCTGGGTGAGATCATCCGTGGCTTTGGGGTGGAGTTCCATCAGTATGCTGACGACACTCAGCTGTACATCTCCACCCCAGGCCACCCCAACGATGCCCTTGAAGTAATGTCCCAGTGCCTGGAGGCCGTGCGGGTCTGGATGGGGAGAAACAGGCTCCGACTCAACCCTTCCAAGACCGAGTGGCTGTGGCTTCCGGCATCCCGATATAGCCAGCTGGTGCCATCGCTGGCTATTGGGGGTGAATTACTGGCCCCCACGGAGAGGGCTCGCAACTTAGGCATCCTCCTGGATGCACGGCTGTCTTTAGAAGAGCATATGACGGCCATGGCCAGGGGGGCTTTTTATCAGGTTCGCCTGATACGCCAGTTGCGTCCCTTTCTGGATCGGGACACCCTACGCACGGTCACTCAAGCACTCGTCACTTCCCGCCTGGACTACTGCAATGCTGTCTACATGGGGCTCCCCTTGGGGTGCACCCGGAGGCTGCAGTTGGTCCAGAACGCGGCCGCGCGGGGGATTATGGGAGCGACGGGGCGCTCACATATAACACCTCTCCTGCGCGAGCTGCACTGGCTTCCTGTGGTCTTCCGGGTGCGCTTCAAGGTGTTGGTGACCACCTTTAAAGTGCTCCATGGCTTAGGGCCGGGGTATTTGTGAGACCACCTTCTGCCGCCGATAGCCTCCCACCGACCGGTTCGCTCACACAGAGAGGGCCTCCTCAGGGTGCCATCGGCCAGGCAGTGCCGGCTGGCGACCCAGGGGGAGAGCCTTCTCTGTGGCAGCACCTACCCTCTGGAATGACCTGCCCCCTGAGATACGCACGATATCAGACCTCCGGACTTTTCGTCGGGCCCTGAAGACACACTTGTTCCATCTAGCTGGGCTGCCTTGATCCCATCCTCTTAGTTTTTTAATCAAAATTCGGTTTTAATTGGGTTGTTTTAAATTCGGGCCAAAATTATTTAATTGTTTTTTAAAATGTTTTTAAATTTTATATGCTATGTTTTATCCTGGCTGTACACCGCCCTGAGTCCCGCAGGAGAAGGGCGGTATAGAAATATAATAAAATAAATAAAATAAAATAAAATAATTTTACAGAAGACAATGTTGAAAAGGCACTATATAATCTAAAACCATCTCTATTTATTGGACCTGATCGACTATGTGCATACTTCTTTAAAAAGCTTTTCACTGCAATCGCAGAACCTCTAAGCATAATTTTTAAAAAATCTTACTTCAAAAAGGGAGACCCTAGCCTAGTTGAAAATTACAGACCAATCTCTTTATGTTGAGTCATCTGTAAAGTCATGGAATGAATCATTAACCAATCTATTACCCTCGACCTAGAGACAACATCCTACTCTCCAACAAACAATTTGGTTTCAGAAAAAAATTATCCTGTAATCTACAACTACTACATTGCAAAAACATATGGACTATACATCTTGATCAGGGTAAAGCAATAGATGCAATTACATAGACTTCTGTAAAGCTTTTGATTCAGTGGTACACGACAAATTACTTCTAAAACTAAAATCCTATGGCTTTTCTGGACTCCTACATGAATGGATAGCTGCCTTCCTGTCAAACAGACAACAAACGGTCAAAATAGGAAGCCCTCTATCAAATCCTGTACCTGTTAATAGTGGTGTTCCCCAAGGCAGTGTTTTAGGTCCAACACTCCTTATACTTTACATAAATGATCTTTGTGATCATATTAAAAGCAACTGTGTTCTCTTCATTGATGATATTAAACTATTCAACACCACCAACAATGCAACTACCCTTCAAAAAGACCTTGACTATGTGTCAGATTGGTCTAACAAGTGGCAACTTCAAATCTCAACCAACAAATGCTCTGTCTTGTACATTGGCAAAAAAAATCAAAACATAAAATACAAATTAGATGGACATGACCTTGTAGATGATTCTCACTCTGTCAAGGACCTTGGAGTACTCATTTCTAAAGATTTATGTGCCAAAGCTCACTGTAACAACATTGCCAAAAGGCATTAAGAGTTATTAACCTAATCTTGCGTAGCTTCTTCTCTGATAATATTGTACTAGAGCATACAAAACATTTGCTAGTCCAATTCTCGAATACAGCTCATCGGTCTGGAACCAGCACTGCATATTGGACATAAATACAATTGAGGGAATCCAGAGATATTTTATGAAAAGAGTCCTCCATTCCTCTACCCGCAATAAAATACTTTATACCACCAGATTTGAAATTTTGGGCTTAGACAACTTAGAACTATGCCAACTTCAGTCTGACCTAAGTGTAGTACACAAAATTATCTGCCACAATGTCCTACCTGTCAATGACTACTTCAGCTTCAACCACAATACATGAGCAAATAATAGATACAAACTCAAGGTAAACTGCTCCAAACTCGATTGCAGAAAATATTACTTCACTAACAGAGTGGTCAATGCCTGGAATGCACTACCTGACTCTGTGGTTTCTTCCTCAAACCCCCAAAACTTTAACCTTAAACTGTCTACTGTTGACCTCACCCCACTCCTAAGAGGTCTGTAAGGGGCGTGTATAAGTTTGCACCAGCTTGCCTACCATCCCTGACCTCTTTTCATGTATTCAAATTATGTTTATCCTTTTACCTGTTATCTTATATATTCTTGACAAATAAATAAATAAAATAAAATAAATAATAAATAAATAAATCTGCACATATACTATGATACATTTCAACATCCTAGATCCATGATGGCGAACCTATGCACGCATGCCACAAGTGGCATGCAGCACCCTCTCTGTAGGCACACGAGCTGTCACCCCAGTTCAGTTTTGCCATGCATGTGCCCACACCTCCCACCAGCCAGCTGGTCATCGACTCTCTGCTGCAGTGTGTGTGGGGCATGCGTGGGGGGCACGCACACATGTGGGGGGGCCACGTGCCCATGCATAGAGGTGGGGCACGGAAGCCATGCATGCATTGCATTTTGGGGGTTGGGTGCGCGCGTGCATTCTCATGCATGCGCGCACACTTTGGGCACTCAGTCTAGAAAAGGTAGACATCACTGTCCTAGGTTATTGTGAAGAACTTGATGCATATGAAGGCCAACACCAGCTAAAAGAACTGACATTGTGATTTCACATTGTTGTATATATAAATAAGAAAAATACTATAAATAATAATTTATATTAATTAAATATATAAAATAATAAATGAGACCATAAAATAGAGAAAATAATAAAAAATGAACAAGCTAAATTGTTTTGGGACGTTAGAATTCAAACAGACAGGCACCTGCTTGCATAACATACCAGATGATAAGAGAGACAACAAAAAAAGTCTGGATAGTGGACGTAGCAGAACCTGGAGACAGCAGAATAGAAGAATAGAAGAATTGGAGATGATAACAAAATACAAAGATCTACAAATAGAAATAGAACTGTGGCAAAAAGAAAGCAAAGAGAGTATCAATAGGAATAGGTGCCTTGGCTAACAATTCAAGGACTACTTGAACACCATCAACATTAACAAACTCACCATCAGTCAATTGCAAACAACTTACTCAGAACAGCTTACATCCTGCAATGATACCTCTAACACCATAAAACATCAACAATTGCCTATCCTAGGTCCTTGGGAAGGTCTCGATTTGTGGATAAAAATGCCAAATCTAGTCTGGCTGACTATGAAATGAACCATAATAATAATTACTGTGCACCACGTGTCCATGCATAATATTTTTAAAAATCTTCACTGTTTATTGTTTTTTCTGTTTTTACTTATAGTTTTATGATGTTTGATGTGTTCTGTCTACATAGAATCATACTTTGTGAGATAGGTGGCTATATAAATTTTGTTAATTAAATAAATGTGTATGAAAAGCAAATAAACAAATACATGCAACTGTTAATTTCTTGGCAATACTTTTAAAAATGCCATAGTTTTGCCCACTCTCCAGTGAATGTAACAGCTCTGATTTCTAAGTAGACATCTATAGAATTATACAGTAATAAGTATCTGAAGGTATGCATGGAAGGATCATTGAAACTTCAGCACAAATATTCATTGCTATACAGAGCTATGCAGATTAAACTGAATAGAAAGATTAGACAGACATCTCAAAAACCAATAGCAAGTTTATTCTAGCATCCCAATAATTAATTGTTTTCATAGTGTAGATCAGTTCACATACCTAGTAAAGGATAAATTTCAGATCTCTCCTTGGTTAAATATGCTTTGTAAATCATTCTATTTTTAAAAAATGAGAGTGGAGAGAAGGGGAGAGAGAGAAGAAAATGAAATTTATGCTAACATTTCCCGAATTGCTTTGGAGGAATTACTAATAGTATATCACATTTGTCTTTTTAAGGAAAGAGCCTAAATAATTTAATGTTTAATAATTATTGTATTCCAGACCAATTGCAGCTTCCATATTGGGCAGTCCCAACAAGGGGTGTTTAATACAGAAATGATTATGAGCAAAGATTTCCAATCCAGGAAATACTATAATTGGTGCACAAGCTGGATGCCTACAACTGGTAAGAAACTTTGTACTTGAAATATCCCTGGATTGATCTTTTAACTCCCGTCTTATCTGTGCATGACTTGGATTGTTTTTGGACTTTGCTTTACTTTTTTTGAAAAGTAAAAGACTACAACAACTCTGTGTGTTTGTATGTTAACTGTGATTGTTCACAATCACTCCCAGTCGCTTTTCATGCATTTACTCAAAGGGTACTCTGCTCAATAACCCACAACATCGGTTATGATCCAAGAATATCCTTAACAAGTATCATCTTCCTACTGATGATATCTGATTCTATGACAATACTTCATTTTCCCCAGTTTCATGTAATTGTTAAATTGGGACTAGAGGAGTGTTAATCCCTCTGGTGTCCACGATGGCGATTCCTAGGTCTTGATCTCTTATCCTCTAGAACTCTTTAACTAGAACCATGCAATTAACAAGGAGAACCCCTGCAGAACTCTGCCCTCCACTCTCAGTCTTTGCTGATGGTCCAGAAGGATTTAATGATCAATATCAATAACAATTGAGCAATTAATCACTTATCCTATTCCGTTCCTGCCACAGAAGTGTTCCGCATATGTTTTGTTTGTACCTGGGCTTTGAACTCTGGCTGAAAAAGTACATAAAATCCATTTCCCCTGAATTCTCTGCAAGTGCAATCCTCTTAATGCTCCCCTCTCTGAAATGGGAAGGGAAGGCTAGAAGCAGTCTAGTAATTATTTAAAACTGCCAGGTTGAGCAATGGCGTCTTGAGGAAGAAGGGTTACACCACCAACTTTTTCAAGATGAACCACACCCTTTTCCAAGGAAGCATCCCATCACACTGTCCTTGTCAGTGTGATCTACAGATCTACATACTTACAGTTTTAAAAAAAGATGCATTATTTGCCTCATGTGTAATATCTAAACTATTTCTTTTGTTTAACATACAGTATATCCAACTAGACATGAGCAAAGTTTTCTTGTGCCTGAGAGAAGAAACAGTGAAAACACAATGCCTTTGATGTAACTTGTTTTCCCAGAACTGCTCCCAGAAAAGCAGATATAAGAAAGGATACATTTTCTTCCTGTAGATATAACAAGAAGGTGTGAGAACTCATCCTCCAGCAGTAGAGGACTTAGCAAAACAAACAACCTGCTTTGCTGAAAAGGGATGTTTCCTGAACCTATTCTGCATTCAAAGGTTTAGGCAGCTGGAGCAAACTTTTTCTTGTGCAGCTACCCACAAGACAAAATTGTACTTACGCTTTTTCTGTAATACCAAGAAATTGATAGACTGTTCCAGGGTTCACAACACCTTTCATCTCAACTAATGGGAGCTCTTCAAAGAAGTAGTGGGGCAGTTTAGATTTGGAATAAGTGAGGGCATCACAGCTTACTAATCCTGGATAAAACATCATCAGCCGTGCAGCAAGGTTAACTTTTCGTCCAATCACTAACATGGAAAGAAAAAGAGAAAAACTTGCCATTGTACATTTCTCCTCAACTAGTATTGCAAACAAGATGAGGTCTAGGACTGAGTCACTTAAAACAATTGACTAAAGTAACTTTATTGTAGAATATACTTTTGCTAAAGCAGAAGATGGAACAGAACTTCTTTCACCAATAGAAATGTTAGATTCATTGTTACAGACTCCTGGAAAGAGAAACTCCAATTCCCTATGTGATATTTCTCCCTTCCCAAAAGTCCTCCAAATTTGGGATTAAAAAAGAAAATCTGTAGATTGATTTAGCTTTCATAGCACTACGGTATTAAATTCCCAACTATGCATAGCAAAAGAGCCTCTTTAGGAAGAAGTCTTTGCAGGACCCAATGAATAAACAAAAGCAAAGGAATCCAAAATTGCTGACTGATACCTGACTTCTATTTGATATTAGTGGCAGAATCTTTTTTCCAAAACCAAAACCAGCATTATCAGTAAATTGGGAAGTCGTCATTCTGAGCCTCAATGGTTCTTCAAATTTTGATAGGCATCAGGACTAACCTTCTGGGCAATGGCATCCTTGGTTACACACTTTTCTATCCACAAGATCGAAATAGCCCCTGCCGCTTTGAGATGTTTTATAATAACAACTATTATTTTTGGAGTTTGTTATAAAATGGGCCACTGTATAAATGTTTTAAACAACAGAATAACAGAATTGGAAGGGACCTTGGAGGTCTTCTAGTCCAAAGCCCAGCTCAAGCAGTAGACTCTATACCAGGGGTCCTCAAACTTTTTAAACAGGGGGCCGATTCACAGTCCCTCAGACTGTTGGGGGGCCGAACTGGCTGGGTGGGGGTGGCTAGGTGGTCATGTGATTGGGTCGGTGTGGCCAATTTAACTGTCCATTTTATGCCTTTCTCCTTCCTAAGCTGTACTTGCTCAAGCCAAGGAATCTATTTACTTAATAAGATCTACCCCCCAAAGGGAAAAAGAGCACAAACTTTCTTGCCATTTGCTTAATTTCATTACAACAGCAGCTTCAGGCTCCTTAAAATAGGCCATTGAAAAAGGAATAAAACAAACAGGATTTCCTTCAAAATAACTCCTGATCATGTTTCAGATGACCACACAATAAACCAGACTGAGAACTGCAGCAATTAAGACTGCAACTAAAACCCACAAGATGGGCATTGAGAGACATTGGAAGCGGGCAGAAGGTGAGAATCAACACAAACACCCCCCCCCCAAGCATCCAATGGTGAATTAAGGAGGGATAATGGTCCCTCAGACTGTTGGAGGCCGGACTATGGACCCATGTGGTTCCTTCCCCTTTGGTTCCAGCCAAAGCCTTTGGGGCTCTTTGCAAGCAGCAGCAGCAAGACCTGTGAGTGCCTGTCAACAGGGGAGGCGGCCAGGGAAGGGATAGGAGACCAGACTACTTTTTTTTAATTATTTGGGATTACAAGGTTAAAGGTCTTTTAAGCCTGAAGGAGAATTCAAACTGATTTGTTTTTTGCCACACTTATGCCTGTGTATCCACACACATGAAAGCTACCAAAATTGTTCAGCAACCAATTTGGTGGATGTATTTTATATATGGCAAAATCAAAGCAGTGGGTGAATTCTCCTTCAGGCATTATACTGCGGTTGCATTTGAATTAGTTTTAGCCAACTTCAGCTGATTTTGACAAAGCTAGGAGACATGGAGACATATCCCCCACCCACCCACTTTTAAAGTGCTACTTTACAAGCAGCCCCTCCCCTACTCAAACACCGCCCCTGGTTCATATGGCTGTGAAAAAGGCTTTTAATTTAAGGCAGCACTTCTGCAAGTTCAGAGAAGGCAAGCACCCACATCCCCCATTCAAACTGTGAAAAAGATCCCGTTTAAATTGTTTTCAGGCTTTTAATTTAAGACAGTACTTTTTTAAGCTTTTCAAGCTGCACCAGTGATATCACCCCTCACTGGCCCTCCCCCACACCCTTTGGCCTTACCTTCGGCAGCAGATGTGTGATCAGAAGTGCAACTCAATCAGTGAAAGAAGTGTGGCTGGAATGGATGCTTGCTGGAAGATAAGGCCGAAAGTAAGGGGGTGGGGCTTAATCCCACCACTCCGCGGGCCGGATGCTTTGCATTGGCGGGCCGTATCTGGCCCATGGGCCATAGTTTGAGGATCCCTGCTCTATACCATTCCAGACAGTTGCTGCCAGTCTCATCTTAAAAGCCTCCAGTGATGGAGTACCCACAATGTCTGAAGGCAAGCCATTCCACTGGTTAATTGTTCTTACTCTTAGGAAATTTCTACTTAATTCCAGGTTGCTTCTCTCCTTGATTAGTTTCCATCCATTGTTTCTTGTCCTGCCCTTTGATGCTTTGGAAAACAATTTGACCTATTTAATAAATAGGTCAATATATTTTATTTTTAATATCACACACACACACATACATATAACTTTATTACTATCTATTTCCAGTACTTTATTTGATTGCTAACATTTATATTCATTATAACTGCACCTGTATATTCATGCCTCACACGATGACCAACGACTCCACAGAAAACTGGCCCACCAGTGACCCCAATAGAAACAATCCTACAACACAAAATGGAACAAAAGGAACTGAATGTGCAAAGAGAGCACAAGCATACCTTGAAAATGATGTGCTGCACTGGACCTCTAAGCTTCTTTAGATTTCCTGGGACAATGACTTACCTGCAATTAGCTATCCAACATAGAATCTATAAAGAATTCTGCTTAAAATCCCAGAATCTTCATTTGGTACCATCCCCAACACTGTCCCTCATTTTCTTTTTCAATTCCTCAAAGCCATGCCTATAGTGCATGCACTACCCATTGAGCATGCTCAGCTATTCTTGAGCTACTTTACAATTTTCTCTGATTGTGTGTGATTGTTAACTAAGATTTTCTGTAATTTTACAAATCTTTGGTTGCCTCAGTAAAGATTTCTATAACCTTCCTGCCAGGTAATGCAGTTTTAGTTACATAAGCAATGTACTTACAGTCTGCACACAGAAGTATAAAAAGTAGGAGAGAGGCATCTATTTTCTCATGCAGAAAACTTAATGGATGTTTCTTAAAAATAAATGGATAAGATGTAACCTTAACACCTTATCTTTCTGACAGATACCCAGACCATCTTTCTCCTTCATACTATACCCTTAATACAGGAAGGAGGGCATATTCTTGGAAAAATGATGTTGATGATGCCAGTGGATGAATTGTCTATTTTCTTAAAATGGGAAATTTTAGTTTTAAATGAAAAGTTGCCTTGTTTTTTTGTACATATAGACCATAACCACAACATGAACAAATCCCAACAACTTTTTTCTATAATGTCTTTACAATGTTTCTTCATCCTCAACTCATACCTGATGCAGTCAATAGCTAAGTAGTCCTAGCATAGCTCCTCTAGGGCTAGATGGTTTTCACTCTTTTTAAGAAGCAACTAACCATAGAAATTTGGATGCTAGTTCAGTCTGAAACAATTCACTGACCATTGATTGATGCAGAAAGAGGAGCCCTAGTGAGTACCTGTGGCAGGATAGGTATTTCCAATAGGAGTAGCAAATTCTACAATGATATAATTTGTCTCAAGGAATGGTAGATTGGACATCAGACATAAGGAAGAGCCCTCATATAGGATTAAAATACTTTTAGCAAATATGTAGTGTATCTATAAAGACAGTATCAAAGCCTTCAAAAAAATAGACCAAATCTCATTTGAAGAATAAAGCAGTACAATTTTTAAATCCTCCTGTCACTTGGGGCATTTTTACACAATTTCTGGCTCAGGCCCTCAAACTGTTTGTAGCAGTCAGTTGCTTCACTGCCAACATTCTTCCTCCATGGTATTTTCGACATGGCACTTTGTTGCAGGAAGGAGGGAAAAAATATCCAGGAAGGGAGGAAGGATGAGGCAGGTGTCTATCCTACAACTCTAGAGAATACACTTCACAGTGCTATTCTGGAGTAGGGATTAAACCTGTAATTAACTGACTCAATTTCTCAAGTTAGGCCTATCCACATAGTGTGGATGTAGGACACAGAATGGATCATAGAAACACTGCTTATGTGTAGAAGGGGCTTTAGATTGCTGTTTGTCCCAATAATTTTCCCTGAAACTTAAACCCAAGTCTTAGCGGATATAGCTCTTCATGATGCTACAAATACAGAATTAGAACTAGGATGCAAACATGGCATTTCTTGATATAGAAAGCTGGGGCTTGAGCACTACATGCGATCAGATATATGTTAGTGACATCCCACTCTCATTTACTTACTTTACTTTCATAAGTGCTGTGGAACAGAAAGCATGAATTTTATGGGCACTATCAAGAGCATTTGTGCTTTCATCTGCTTGTTTATCGCCAGGAAGACCAAAGATGCAAAGAAAAGTGCAGCCCTTTTTGGGAAGGAGAAAATAGTACATCAGAGAAGGCTGTTTCAAAGACTAGGTAAGTACAATTCATAAAATATATTTACTTATTTAGTGTTGCATGCTTCTTTCTCAGATCAAGGTACACTATCCTATAGTAATCTAAGTAAAATTATAATATCGCACTGTAAATTAATTATTTAATTATTAATTAAATTAATTGTCATTGATTAATGATAGCTGCTTGCAAATCCCAGGATTTCAGATTCAAATAACAGATAGAATTGAAGAAACATCTGGTAAAAAGAAGGGTGGAGGTATCTGCTTTTATATTAACAACCGATGGTGTAAAAATGTCACTACACTAAAGAAATTTTGTGATGTGGACTTAGAGACTCTATTCATCACTTGCATATCCTATTATTCCCCCTCCTTGAGAGTTTTCTTCATTCAACCTAGTTGGGGTGTACCTACCACCCCAAGCTTGCCTAAATAAGGCATTGCAAACCTTAACTGACCAAATCCTGTGGGCTGAACAGAGATATCCAGACTCCCTACTCGTTGTATTAGGAATTTTTAACAGTGCTAACCTAAGCTAGGAGCTGCCAAGATACATTCAGCATGTCAACTGTTTCACCAGAGGCAAGCATATTTTAGACCACTGCTATTCAACATACCAAGAACGGCTGTGGAACATTCTGATCACTGTATGATTCACCTTGTACCTGTTTATAGATAAAGACTTAAAATCATAAAACCAATAGCTAAAACAGTGAAGTCTTGGAGCGAAGAGGCAAAGTTAAAGCTACAGGCTTGCCTCAATTGCATAGACTGGAATGTTTTTGAATTTGCCTCAGCAGACTTGGATGAACTCACTGATACTGTGACATTATATGTTAGCTTTTGTGAGGAGTCATGTGTGTGCCGACCAAAACCTTACACATCTACAATAATAATAAACCTTGGTTCACAGCTAAGCTCAAACATCTATGCCATGGCAAAGAGGAAGCCTACAGGAAATGAGATAGAATGCTGTACAATCAGGCCAGAAATGTATTACAAGGGAGGTCAGGGCAGCAAAGAGAAGCTACTCTGAAAAGCTGAGGAATCAGCTCTCCACAAATGAACCAGCTAATGTATGGAAAAATCTGAAAAATATCACTAGCTATAGCAGACCACCCTCCTTTGCAGAAGACAATCGGCAACTGGAAAATGAACTGAATGTGTTCTACTGTTTGAGAGGAGAACACTGTCAACTACCGCTATTCTCTTCATCTCAGATACATTAACTACAGCCAAGTCTCCTACACCTGACTCCATCCCTCTGGGCTCCCCACCTCAGGTGATCACAGAAAAAAATGTGCAAGGTCTATATCACAGACAAAAAGGTAGAAAATCACCAAGGCCAGACAGAGTAACTCCCTCTTGCTCGAAAGTCTGTGCTGATCAACTGGCCCCCATCTTCACCTGCATCTTTAATAAAGATGTGTTATGTTCCTTCTTGCTTCAAATGATCTACTATCATTCTAGTGCCCAAGAAACTCTCCATCAAGAAGTTGAATGACTACAGATTGGTGGCTCTGAAATCTGTAGTTATGAAAACCTTCGAAAGGTTAGTGTTGGCCCACCGGAAAGCCATCACAGATCTGCTGCTAGTCTTTTTGAAATTCGTCTACCATACAAATAGATCAGCAGATGATGCTGTCAATAGGCACTGCACTACATCTTACAACATCTAAAGAACTATGTAAAGGTTCTTTTTGTAGACTTCAGCTCAGCATTCAACACAATCATTCCTGAAATCATCCTGCCTAAACTGACTCAGATAGTTGTGCCTGACCACACTTGTAGATGCATTATAAGCTTTCTAATGAATAGGAAGCAGCAGGTGAAGTTAGGGAAAATCATACTGAATACCCATTCAATTAGCACAGGGCCATTACACTTCTCTCTATATACCAATGACTGCATCTTGAAAGATCCCTCTGTTAAAGTATTGAAGTTTGCAGATGACACAACAGCCATTGGTCTCATTTGAAATGCCGATGAGTCTGCATATAGACAGGAGGTAGATCAACTGTCCCTGTGGTGCAGCCAGAACAATCTAGAGCTGAATATACTTAAAACTGTAGAAATAACAGTAGATTTTAGAAGAAGCTCTCCTATTCTACCACCTCTTACAATATTAGACAACACAGTACTAACAATAGAGAGCTTCAAGTTTCTAGGTTCTATTATCTCCAAGGACTTGAAATGGACACCTAACATTAGAATCATCATTAAAAAGGCACAACACAGAATGTTGTGCATCAGCTCAGAAAGTTCAGATTGCCCAAGAATCTGCTGATACAGTTCTACAGATGAATTACTGAATCTGTCATTTATAACTCAATAACTCTCTGGTTTGGGAGAGCAACCAAACAGGAAAAGTACAGACTTCAACAGCTAGTTAGGACTGCAGAAAAAACAATCACTTACAAAAAATATTTTTATTAAGTTATAAAATATTATAAAATACAAAAGCAAATAAAAGGACAATAAGGGGAAAGGGACAAGGGAAAAGAAAAGTGAGGTAAGGTGGGGAAAGAAAAAGAAACATTGATTTCCGATTCTCTCTGTTACAGTAGAAAAGGGCACTATCAAAAACAATCACAACCAGCCTGTCTCCCATTGAGGATCTGTATATTGTACAAACCAGAAAGAGGACTGAGAAAATATCTATAGACTCCTCACAGTTTGGACATAATCTATTTCAACTTCTCCCCTCAGGATGTTGCTATAGAGCATTGCATGCCAAAACAACTAGGCACAAAGATTTTTCCCCTGTACCATCACTCTGCTGAACATTTAATTCCCACAACACTGTCTCATTTCTCATCTCATCTTTCCTACTATCTTCTCCTATTGGTATCTTATGATTTATCAATTGTTGTTTGTAACTTATGATTAATGATTGTAACAATGATTTATGATCTATTACTTGCTGTTTGTATGTACATTGTGAGCTTAGGTACTGGAGAAAAACTCCTTGTGTGTCACATTTGGCCATAAAGAATTCTGTTCTATTCTGTTCCATTCCACTCTTCTCCACTTCACTCCACTCTCCACTCCACTCCACTCCCCACTCCACTCTACTCTATTTAATACATGTATTGAAAAACATAATAAAAGAAACACAGTTGAACAATAGAAACCAAGAATAGCAACTAATGAAATGGAAGTATTACTATGTGCATATGCTTTCCATATTACCAGTTAGTTTTATTGAAAATTCATTGTTTTTCTCTGTTGATACATGATAGAACCTATTGATACAATACCTGTATAGGAGACTCACTTTGTCAAACATGAAGACTTTATTAATGTTACCACTAAGGGGCAATATTGTTCCAGTGATCATAGCAGTGGCATCTTGGATAGCCTTACACACATGGTGTGTATTGGCATTTTCTTCAAACTGCATATTCACAAAAACAATGGTAACAGGACGTAGCTCTGACAAATACTCTAGTGGCTGGTTATCATCTATCTAGAAAATAGTAAAAGAGCATTAACTTTTTATAGGCACTTGTGGAGAATAAGACTATATTCAAGTATCCTACCCTAAAGTGAAAGTTAGGTTCTTTTAAAAAGTGGGTTTCAAAGTGAACATTTTATCACCAGATTATCATAATTTTTCTTACAACTATTTTCTATACGAGTTAATGAAAAAAATAAAGTTGTAATTTTAAAGACCAAGGAAAAATATTTTATCATAAAAAGCAAAAGAGAAATCATATAAGGTACCATTCTCTCATTTATCCATAGTTTCATGTGATTTTTAGTTCTAGGTTTTAGATTAGAATACCATTAGTCCAGTGATGGGATTCAATTTTTTTTACTACCGGTTCTGTGGGTGTGGCTTGCTTGGTGGGCGTGGCTTGGTGGCCATATGACTGGGTAGGCATAGCTTGGTGGTCATGTGATGGTGGGCGTAGCTGGGTGATTATGTGACTGGGTGGGGCGTGGTTTGGCCATGTGACTGGGTGGGTGTGGCTTGGTCATGTGACTGGATGGGTGTGGCCAACTTGACATCACTCACATCAAGGGGCACCTTGCCTGGCCGCTCCTCACCTAAAAGAGATACAATTTCCCTATCTATTTATTTACTACTACTCAACATCCAAAATATACTATTTAATCCTATGTATATATGCCATACGTGTACATACATATTACATATTATAGAGTGTGTATAGGTACACAAAAAGATACATCTACTATATATACTGTATGTGTATGTACACACACACACAGACACACACACACACACACAGCTCTTTTAAAACTATACACATTCATCCTCACTTGTGTGCATTTGGAAAAACACACCCAGAGTCCACTTTCTGCCACACATTTAACTATAACCTCTGTACATTAGAACATTACACATGCCTTCAGATGTTCTTCCCTAGTGCCAGGATTCAGTAAAATGTGGTGAAACTCACTTAACAATGCTCTTGCTTAGCAACCAAAATTTTGGGCTCAATTGTAGTCATAAGTCAAGGACTATCTTTGCCTTCCTCTGCATGGCAACCTTGTTCTAGTAAACTCCTTCTCCTTTCTGGCAATTTTCCTCTCTGTTAGAGGAACCAAAATAATCCAGACAATATACCGTAAGGTTTCCTGCTGGAGCAGGGGGTTGGACTAGATGATATCTGAGATCACTTCCAGCCCTAGGTTGATGTGCTGTTTCAAAGTGTCTTCTGAAGCCACATCTAGTGCCAGGGTTTGTGGTCCTTCCTTCCTCTCCTTTTTTTTCGTCTCTCTCCCTCCCTCCCTCCCTCCATCCATCCATCCATCCATCCATCCATCCATCCATCCATCTATCTATCTATCTATCTATCTATCTATCTATCTATCTATCTATCCATCTATCCATCCTACTATTTATCATTCACTTTCCCCTCCCTCCCTCCCTCCTTCCCTCACGAGCAGATTGCGTGAGGAGGGAGAGGGAGAAGGGGGCAGTGGCAGCTGCTAGTATTAAGGGCAGAATGCCACACAGGGGAGAAGGTGGCAGCATTTCTGTGTGCTGCTGCTCCTGCTAGTTCCACAGACAATGCTAGCCACTGCCGCTGTCCACTTCTCCCTCTCCATCTCCCTCCCAGGTGCTGGGCAATCTCTACAGCTGCAAAGCGGCTCTCAAAGAGCCGGCGGCTGGTTGCAGGCCGCTGAAAACTACCAGAGGTCGTGGAAAAGCTGCTGCCATCGTCACCATGTTCTTTGCGCATGCGCATCCCATTGGACTTGCAAGGCAATAGGATGCATGTGTGCGAAGAGCATGGAGGCAATGAACATGGCGGGCAGGATAAGCCAGCAGTGACTGGGAGACCGGTTTGGGGGTGTGGCCAGCCAGCCATTGCTACCGGTTTAGCGACCTTGGCAAAATTTCCACCAACAGTTTGTGCGAACCGGTATGAACTGGCTGAATACAACCTCTGCATTAATCTTTAATGATACCAAAATTTTAATTGTACCAAACTCCTTGTGATTTTTCAGCAAAAGCTATTCTGAAGATTATTATTCAACATCCTATTAATTAATGAGAGCAACCATTTTTTTCCATGAATACATTTTTATGTATTTAATCAACACTCAGGAATTTACTTCAGTTTGATACTACAAATTTGTAAAAAAAAAAAATCAAATAAATCTAAGTGTTGTATGTACTATATATTTGTATTAATCTCAGCTTTAATATAATCAAATATTAATTATGCTCAAAACCCAACATAATTACATTTAATAAATGTTCTTCTATTGGTGTTTTACAATGTTGATATATCTGAACATAGAAAAATGAATATATCATCATCTAATGTTCTAGATGGCTTAAATCAGATGTGTCAAACTTTTTGGCTTGCCTAAGCCACAATGAGTGAAGAATTGTCTTTGGCCACATATAAAATATATACTATATGCAGTGGTGGGATTCAAATAATTTAACAACTGGTTCTCTGCCCTAATGACTGGCTGGGTGGGCGTGGCCATGGTGGGCATGGCCAGAGGGTGTGACAGGCAGCACTCATCCTCCTGCACCCCCCTGGGAGCAAAATGCCCCCCCCCATGTTCCATTTTGGGCCTAGGCCTCCCTACAGCCTCCTGGGAGTGAAAACGGGCCACGGGGGGCATGCTACACCCTCTGCACCCAGTTTTGGATCTAGGAGGCCTCCCTGCAGCCTCCTGGGAGCGAAAACAGACCAAGGGGGGAGCGCTGCACCCCCCCACACCATTTTGGGCCTAGGCCTCCCTGCAGCCTCCTAGGAGTGAAAATGGGTCGCAGGGGGCATGCCACACACCCATGTGCTCCATTTTGGGCCTAGGAGGCCTCTCTTCAGCCTGGGAGCAAAAATGGACCATGGGGGGGCACTCCACACACACCCGTATTGGACCTAGAAGGCCTCCCTTCAGCCTGGGAGCAAAAGACGGACCATGGGGGGCACTCCACACACACCCATATTGGGCCTAGGAGGCCTCCCTTCAGCCTCCTGGGAGCACAGGGGAGCACTTCACCCTCCTTTCTCCTATTTTGGACCTAGGAGGCCTCCCTGCATTTACCTGGGAGTCAAAATGGGGTGCATGGGGACTCGTGGAAGGGTCGGGGTGGGGAGGGGAGGGGTCAGGCAGCAATTTAACTACCGGTTCACCCGAACCATCCTGAACAGGCTGAATCCCACCAACTATATGCATATAATAATGTTAAAAGTTTACAATCTTGTGGGGCCACATTACTAGCACTCCAAGGCAACATGCAACCTGTGGTCATGGGTTAGACATGTCTGGCTTAGATACTGATTGATTTAGTTTAAATCAAATTTGATGTTTTTTTTTTATTGAAAAGTTTCATAAGAAATACAAACAATTTTCTCCCCCCCCCACCCTTTCCCCCTCCCCACATAATAGAAAGTGTACATTTTCTTATACATGATAAATCCTACTTATACATGTTTCCCTTAAAGAAAGCAGTAAAATAAGACATTTTTTTTTTAAAATTTGATTTATATGCCGCCCTTCTCCGGAGACTCAGGGCGGCTTACAGTGCGTTAAGCAATAATTTTAATTACATTCGGAGTTGCTCTTTTTCTTTCTTCCCTCATTCCACAACAAACCTTCTTCTTCTCCTCCTTTCTTTCCCTTCCCTCCCTCCTCTTCTTTCCTACTTTCTCCTTCCTCCTCTCCTACCTCATCCTACTTCCTTTTCCTTTCCCCCACTTCTCTCTTCTTTTCCCCCTTCTCACCTTCACTCCTACTCCTATCCCCTTCCCTTCCTCCTCTCCTTTCTTCCATTCCTCTCCCTCCCTCTCCTCTTCCTATCCTCTCCTCCTCTCTCCTTTCTAACTTCTTTGCTGTGAAATATTCTCCTCCTTTAGTATCTGAGCAACTCCTGTATTCTAATCATAGATACTTTCTTCTGTTAAAACATTTCTCTATTCATCACTTTTTTCCCACCCCAACTCTTATCCCACCCTTCCCACCCACCCCTGACTTCCCAGAGTAAAAGCAGGGTATAGCATCTAACAAACATATGCTAAAATAAACTAACTAATTATAAAGTTCAAAACTCCCACACGTTCTTTAACTCCCCTTGCTCCAATTCATCAACCTCCCTTTTATAAATCCTCAAGACCAATTAAATTAAATTCATTCTTCCTAATTATAAAAAAAACTTTTTCTTAATGTATAATCCAATACTTTAGCAATATTACAAACAGTAAAAATCATAAGTAAATTTCATTTCCATACCCTCGAACATCATTCTTTTTGAACATTACTCCCTAATAAAATTCTGAATTTAACATTAATCTTCTTTCCTTCAAAAAATGGGGCATCTTGAAATCTTACACATTTTATCTCATATATCTGTTAAAATAATATAATCTTATGTTAAACATTTTAAAAATCTCTTAATACCATTAAAACACTTATTTGCCAAATATAGATTTCAAAATCTACAGGAGGATATCTTTCAAGTTTTCAATTAACCATTTTAATACCTCTAACTTTTTAGAAAGCAGCCCTTTTACTATCCAAAACTAATTATCATTTTGTAATAGAATTCTAAATTTAACATTAATCCTCTTTGCTTCAAAATGTTGGGCATCTTGAAAGCTTACACATTTTATCTCATATATCTTTTAAAATAAAATAATCTTATGTTAAACATTTTAAAAATCTCTTAATACCATTAAAACACTTATTTGCCAAATATAGATTTCAAAATCTACAGGAGGATATCTTTCAAGTTTTCAATTAACCATTTTAATACCTCTAACTTTTTAGAAAGCAGCCCTTTTACTATCCAAAACTAATTATCATTTTGTAATAGAATTCTAAATTTAACATTAATCCTCTTTGCTTCAAAATGTTGGGCATCTTGAAAGCTTACACATTTTATCTCATATATCTTTTAAAATAAAATAATCTTATGTTAAACATTTTAAAAATCTCTTAATACCATTAAAACACATATTTGCCAAATGCAGATTT